CACGATTTCAGCCAATTGCTTGTCGTGTAACAAACAGTACGATAATCTGCCCTTGTATAGTCTCCGTCATGTTGAGTGTGCACTCTTGATTTTTTGTTAAAAAGATATTCGTCAAAGTATGTGACCTTTTACAAATGAAAGGTGATACGTCGTGACATTTGGCCAATATTTGACGACAAATCTTGACACCCGGTCATATTTTGGAATTTGGACGTTTTGTCATGATATTTAGTCAGTCATCAACGATACAATGTACGTCGTGTCATTTGGTCAATCATCGACGTTTTGTCGTGATATTTAGTCAGTTATCAACGATACGTCGTGTCATTTGGTCAATCATCGACGTTTTGTCGTGACAATAAGTCAGTTATCAACGATACGTCGTGACATTTGGTCAATCGTCGACGTTTTGTCGTGACAATTAGTCAGTTATCAACGATACGTCGTGTCATTTGGTCAATCGTCGACGTTTTGTCGTGACAATTAGTCAGTTATCAACGATACGTCGTGACATTTGGTCAATCGTCGACGTTTTGTCGTGACAATTAGTCAGTTATCATCAACGATACGTCGTGACATTTGGTCAATCATCGACGTTTTGTCGTGACAATAAGTCAGTTATCAACGATACGTCGTGTCATTTGGTCAATCATCGACGTTTTGTCGTGACAATAGTCAGTTATCAACGATACGTCGTGACATTTAGTAAATCATCGACGTTTTGTCGTGACAATAAGTCAGTTATCAACGATACGTCGTGTCATTTGGTCAATCATCGACGTTTTGTCGTGACAATTAGTCAGTTATCAACGATACGTCGTGACATTTAGTCAATCATCGACGTTTTGTCGTGGCAGTAAGTCAGTTATCAACGATACGTCGTGACATTTAGTCAATCATCGACGTTTTGTCGTGACAATTAGTCAGTTATCAACGATACGTCGTGACATTTGGTCAATCATCGACGTTTTGTCGTGGCAGTAAGTCAGTTATCAACGATACGTCGTGACATTTAGTCAATCATCGACGTTTTGTCGTGACAATTAGTCAGTTATCAACGATACGTCGTGACATTTGGTCAATCATCGACGTTTTGTCGTGGCAGTAAGTCAGTTATCAACGATACGTCGTGACATTTAGTCAATCATCGACGTTTTGTCGTGACAATAAGTCAGTTATCAACGATACGTCGTGTCATTTGGTCAATCATCGACGTTTTGTCGTGGCAATAAGTCAGTTATCAACGATACGTCGTGACATTTAGTCAATCATCGACGTTTTGTCGTGACAATTAGTCAGTTATCAACGATACGTCGTGACATTTGGTCAATCATCGAGTGACACTTGGTCAATCACCGACGTTTTGTCGTGACAATTAGTCAGTCATCAACGATACGTCGTGTCATTTGGTCAATCGTCGACGTGACATCGTTGCCTTTAGCAAATAATCGACTGTACGTCGTGACTTTAAGCCAATATTCGAAAATACGTCGTGGCCTTTGACAAATTAACAACAAAACATCGTGACATTTGGTCGATCATCGACGATTCATCGTGACCTTTGGTTAATCGTCGTAACGTCGTGACCTTTAGCAAATAAGCGACGATACGTCGTGACCTTTGGCAATATCAGACGATACGTCGTGGCCTTTGGCCAATAGCCGACGATACGTGGTGGCCTTTGGCAATATTCGACGATACGTGGTGGCCTTTGGTCAAACATCAAAGTTACGTAGTGACATTTGGTAAATCATCGAAGATTCGTCATCGACAAAACGTCGTGGCCGAGTGGTTAATGCGTCGGTCCAGTAATCTAATGATTGCTGACCGTGTCGGTTCAAACCATGTCAGGGGCAAGCCGTTGTTTCCTTGAGCAAGAAATTTTACATATATTGCTTAGTACTGGTTGGTTCCAAGAATTCTCAATTCGAGAGTGTTTTAATAACATCTATAACTATTTATAACTTAAATATGCATGATTTCAGTGACAAACTTCACTGTTTATATAATATGCAACTGTATTGTCTACAAGTAGGAGTTATAACTTTGACTCACTTTATCTTATAGTATGGTTATCATTTAATATATCAAACCAGTTAGTTGATTTGTCAATAAATCAAATTCAAAGTGCTTAATAAAAGCTAAGGGAACCATTAATATCATTTTTATGTAATGGTCTGTTGAAACAACAGGCGGTCGGGGAATACGATCGTACCCACGTCCCCTTAACTCAATCTTTTATGAGACAGACGTACAAATGAACTTTTTTTAAAACCGAAACTATAAAGACAGTACCTAAGTAAAACATTTATATATGCAAGCGAACATGAATGTGGATTATCATCCATTATCATACTTGTGTCGTAACTGGTGATGTTATTTAAATACCCTGAAGACATGGCACCGCACCAGACATGTGTACTATAAATTACTCGATCTCTCATGCCCGCCCACCCAATGACCTAATTTCGACAGAATGAATTTTCATTTTTTAGGTTAAATGAAAAGCAAAGAGAGTATTTTGTCGATTTTGTGTATGTTTTTACTCGATGATTTACTGCAAAACTGCCTAATTTCTTATGTAATTTATGTTATCATTGCCGCCAGACAATAAGCGTTCTACTGACCGAGATTACGTCGAGATATTAAGCGCCTAATAACTTATAAAATGTTTTCATTTTTCATGCGACATAAATTAATTTTATACGCATAAACGATGACAGGAGAATGTAAGCGTTCTTTTTTTTAAATATTTAAAAACTGTAAAATATTCGTATACCTTTGAGGACATGAAAGATGTCATTAAAACAGTGTTTATGTAAATAATGCCCGGATCAACCTCTTATGTCGCAATCGCAATATTTCGTTCCTTTCCGTCAGTCCTCGGTCGCTCGGTTCAAATCGAAGGATTGGCTTATAAGCCAAGCGACAGGGCCACAGTGCGACAACGAGCCGCACGACAACGCGCCGTTTGGCGTGCTTCGCTAGAGACTGGACGACAAGACGACAGTGCGACAATGCGCTTTGTCGTGTTGTCGCTAGCGACAACACGACAAGGTGATAACGATATAGGTTGCGTTGTCGCTACCGACAACGAAACGCGCAATGTACCAAATCAGCCACCATAGACGGGTGGTCTTCTTACCTACGTAAGAAACTTGTTCTTCATTGCTCATCGTACTTCATTGCTTTATTGGGCTAGCGCTTTATCGTCTGACCATTGCAATAACCATATTTTCCCAAATGTACAGTTTACTCTATACGTCGTTACCAAGACATCCCGTTGGAAACCTATGAGTGTCCGTTTCAGCATACGCTTTTGAAAATAGTTCCAATAGACTTACTTATAGAAAATGTATGCGCATGCATGTTAACCTCAATCATTCTCATTGGTTGCCCATCTTAAACTGAGTTGATCACTTCACCATTGGTAGCGAGTGACTGGTTAATGTCATTTAATAGACTGGCTATCGCGTTGTATCAGTATTTTTTTCAATAGGTCATGGTCTGTTCCAGTCTAAAGGCATAGCTGTGAGCTGTTAGTATAAATTGTTGCACATCAATGTCTTCTTAAATTGTAGTCAACTTTATGTAACGCAGGAGTTTGTACCAATCTTGTTATTCATGTAACTTTACGTAAAACGTCATATGAAACATAAAGTAACAAATAACCCGTCCATATGTACTTCTGTACATAGAGTTTGATTTATAAAACAATCACAGAGTTATCATCATCAAGTGCGCTGTCACATAATTTTATTTGCGGGTTTGTGGAAATGATCTCCCTTTTTGCAATCAGATCCCTGAATTTTATACGCCAACAAAGGAAATTTAGGTAAGGACAGAGGAACTTGTCAATTGATCGCTCTGTCAGTCTGTTGGGCATAAAACCGAGATAAAAGGCAAATAAATTATTTAGAATATGTATCTGATTATTTAACATTGTGCTGCACAGTAAAAAGAAACATATTTGGCAAAGACTAGCCACCAGACAGCCAATAATGTAATACATTGTATTTATATCTAACATTCATTGGCAAATATGATTTACATGTAGGACGATCAACGTGGTAAATCACAACCGTTCTTGTTTAATAACCGTAAAAGTACAACACTCACAACATTGTAAGCTTTTAAATACCAATCAATTGAGGGTCAACATTCAGCAGCTTGTGAAAATTCGGCATGATTCGCTACTTTACGTTTTTTATTCGATAAAAGCGTTTTAAGACAATCACAATCGCAAATTTTCGGCGCTTTCCGTCAGTCTTCGGATAAGTATGAATAATAGCCGAAGGTGTTCCGATTGAAACAATCAAAATCGGAAAGAAACGTAGTTAAACGAATATTTACGAAGCACATAATAGAGAGGTACATAACGGTTTGACATAAAAAGAACACACATAGCATGCAATAGGCGACAGATTGTTCATATCTACATTCCATTGAGTATACTATTTAGTTAATCCAATAGCAAACGCAGATTTAATAACTGTGTCTGCTGCAACAAGATTTTGCATTGATTATACAAATATGAACGCATTATAGGAAAAAAGGAGCGTTGCTTGCTTCTCCTATTGCGGCAAGATACCAATTTGAAAACGGGTAACAAACTTGAAAATGATTCAGAAATTGTGTTATTTAATGATTTTAACATTTGAAACAAAGTATTGTTTTGACAAGCGACAGGTTCAGTAATGTTTGTGAACATTTTGCACTTAACAATGACAGTTTATAGATCACAAATATAAACTGTGCAACACTTGATGAAACGACTCTGCAAACATGTACGCACGCACGTAGATAAAAAAAGAAATTGCTGGTGTTTTCATCTGCTAATTCACCTAGTTTAAACACGGTCTCGTTCATTTTCAAGAAAGAATATAATGCCAACAAACGTCCGTTTACTAGACGCTTTCATCATTTCCAAGGACGTCAATTTCAGGCATGTGTTGTTCGTTTGTAGAGGAAGATTTTTAATCTGTTTTAATATATTTCAGATCTTGATGATATAATAGATCTTGATCACGAGTATCTCACGTACGGAAGTTATCATAATAATGATGACGTCATCGATACTATACAGTACTACTTCCGGTCTGACAAGGGAGACAATTATAAACCTTTAAGACGTAATACTGCCATTGATCTCAGCTCACCTTTATGTTATGTAGGTAGCACATCAACTAACATCATTTGTGAATATGAACATAAACAGGTAAGAGATGTATAAAAACGATGGAAATAAGGGGACAGAACTCTTAGATTTTTATTTTCCAAATTAGTTCATTCATGTACATATGAACATAAAATTAAGAGATATTTACAATTACACCGAAATTAAATAGGCAAAGCTCGTTAAGATATTTTTTATATCAGAAATAAAGTCATTTTTTAACTTTACTTATGAATTCATATCTTTTATAGAAAGTTCTTTCCCTTGTTCGTTACTTTTTTCCTTTTTTACGGTAAAAAAAACTTTTCCTGTTTTGCAGAATACTAATTTTTATCGGGACGAAGACAATTCGGTTGCTATGGCAATTACAAATGAAAACGGGACTATGAAAATAGTAAGTACCACTTTCTTACTGTAACAATAAAAGTATGTCACCAGCTTACATATATTTTTCAAGTATGCCATTAATTTATAACAATTATTCCAACCCGAGATTATTGTGCAATGATTAATCAAATTTACAATATTTATTATAATATATAATGATTATACAATCTTATAAATTTCAATCATTTTCTCAAATGTTGTGATTTTTAAAAACATTATTTACTTATGACCCTTATGACCTTCGTTTAATGAGTAAATGTATCAAATTCGTTTTGGAAATGCAAATGTCCGTATTCATTATAAAGAATGCTATCGGTTTTGCTGTATTATTTCCCTTGATTACTACGGCACGTGCTTCAAATAAGTTGCCCCCATTTACACCGTGTTGACGTATTATCGGTCAAGGTTGTTTACCGTCAGTACTGTCAGTACTTTGATTTTCGTTACTTTATTCTATTAATAGAGAGGGATTGTGAACACGATAGACGCAACAACGGAGTATGAACCATTAGAATCCGAGGGCCTGCCATCTAATAGGTACCACGTGATTAAGAAGAGGTGGACGGCCAATATGGTCCGTAAGTAACGCTGTAGATCTATCTTCTAAAAATACAACTTTACTAAAATTTATGCTATTACAATACTAACCTCATGTAAAAATAAGCAAATGCCATATAAAGAAATCAGCTAAAAATAATTAACTTTCATACCTCAGATAATATTTTCATAAAAATCAACTTACATCATGTAACAGCATATAATTCAGCTTACACCGTATAACAGTTAACTTTCATTATGTAAAATTCAGCTAACTCCATATAACAGTTAACTTTCATTATGTAAAATTCAGCGTACTCCATATAGCTATTAACTTTCATTATGTAAATTCAGCTTACGCCATATAACAGTTAATTTACATTATGTAAAATTCAGCTTACGCCATATAACAGTTACTTTCATAATGTAAAATTCAGCTTACGCCATATAACAGTTAATTTACATTATGTAAAATTCAGCTCCATAAAACAGTTAACCTTTATTATGTAAAATTCAGCTAAGTCCATATAACAGTTAAGTTTCATTTTGTAAAATTCAGTTTACGCCATATAACTGTTAACTTTCATTATGTACAATTCAGTCAACTCCATATTACAGTTAACTTTCATTTTGTAAAATTCAGCCAACGCCGTGTAACAGTTAACTTTTATTGTGTAAAATTCAGCTAACGTCATACATGTTTCATCAGCAGGGTAACTTAAAAGAACTGAAACTTTAAAAGATCAATTTGATTTTTTTTAAACAGAACAACTGGGACACTATAAACGAATAGTTTTACAAACGAGGATAAAGAAAAATACAATAATTGAATAGAAATTCGTACTTCTTAGCAAGGAAAATTATATAACACGTTGTGGTGTTTCAAAAGAAGGCATGTGCTGTTACAATGTGCTTTAATATATAATTTTTAAAATTGGTTTATGTTCAAGCTTTTATCATAAAATTACAAATTGAGATATACTGTGCAAAAGGTTAGTTTTTATAGAGATCAAATAGTCTATACAGACCTTCCAGCCCCATCAGGTTAACAACACTTTAGAGCCTTTAATGTATCTAAAATGATATCAATGATTACAATAATGAGCATAATGACATTCACGCCAATGCCTTCCATATAATACGATCCTGTTATTACACATGATGACACTTCAACCTCGGTTGACTCGAACGACCGATCTCTCAAACAATTTACACAGGCCCTCCGAGTGCGAGCGGAAGAAGTTCGGTTGTATGTAAAAATATGCTTGCTGATTAATTAATGTAGGTTGCATTCATACTTGTGAATTTATAATGAGTAGGTTTCTAATTGACTGATTCTGAGTATTTTGTAATTTCAAAAGTCCTTAAATTTAATTCCGTATATGAGCTGTTTAAAACTACAAAACAATGTGTGTTGTGATCCATATGTGAACGATGCCACATTAGAAAGGATGGTAAAACATTAATTAATGATTCATTTAACTTGTCACCTGACATTTTGTATCAAATGATGTTATAGATAAGCGTTCCAAACGCTCAGCTAGCAGACGAGACAAAACAGGAAAACAAAAGAAAAAATCGAAAAATGGCGGGAAAAATAAAGGGTCGTGCAAAACATGCGGTGTTTCTGTTGGAATCCAAATTGGAATAGGAATTAACAGTAAAATATGAAAAAGTTACCCCTATGTATTTTAATTATTTATTTATTTATTTATTTATTTATTTATTTATTTATTTATTTATTTATTTATTTATTTATTTATTTATTTATTTATTTATTTATTTATTATATATGATTGATGTATTGATTTATTTATTTATTTATTTATTTATTTATTTATTTATTTATTTATTTATTTATTTATTTATTTATTTATTCATTTGATGTATATGAAAAATTCACACACTCCCTTACAAATTATTTTCGTTTTGTCGTTTTGCCTGCATCGTTAATATTCCAGAGTTATTTACATTTTTCCCGCTAATTACATAGATAAAATACATCTTAACTAACTGTTCTTTTATGTTTCATTTGTTTCAGGTAACATAAAATGATCTCCCTTGAGTAAATTATTTTTATTACTGTCGTTTTATGTCTCACATGAAATTGTCTCCCTTGATTAAAGTACCTTGTTACTGTCTTTTTATGTCTCATTTATTTCAAATAACCTGAAATTATCTCCCTTGTTTAAGTATCTTGCTTCTGTTCTTTAGTTTGAAATAACATGAAATTATCTCTCTTGTTTTAATTTTCTTGTTACTGTCTCATTCATTTCAAATCACATGTAATTATCTCCCTTGTTTAAAGTACTTTGTTACCGTCGTTTAATGTCTCATTAATTTCAAATTAACATGAAATTATCTCCCTTGTTTAAACGTTGTAATCTCCCGTGTATCTTTTATATCCACATATATAAGTACGTTTATATTGCTTTTGAAAATGGAATCAAAGAGGAGGCTTCTATTGATTCCCAAGAAATAATCAACCTTTAGCTTGCCTTTTTGTATGTTTGTGTTTTCCTTTTCATTTTGGGCAATTCTTTGCAAGTATTATGTTTTGGTGCCAGTGATTTCACTCAAGTTAATAATGTTGTTGTTGTAAGTGTTATTGTTTTTTCATGTTCTAAATAGTGACTGTTCATTGTGACAAAATGAATTTTACTTTCGTAAACCTTAATATTTTAGGAACAGTCGCAAAATAACTGATTTTTCATTGAATTCTTAGTAGAAGACGATAGTAATTATGCAGCAGACGATACTAATTATGCAAAGATAAAATATTGCGCATGCTTGTTTTAAAGAAAATTTCTGTAAGTTATGATGTTTTGATATTAACCGGTGACAATGCAAGACTAGGTAAAGGTGAAAGACCATTTTATGTGAGGTTGATATATGAGTACATGTAGTTACCCTGGACTCCATTATCGTAGTATAAAATAGCGGATATACCTTACAAGCATTTTGATAAAGACTATAAAGTTTCCGATTTTCTTTAGCTAATATCATTTCTCCAACAGATTGATTTTTTTATATCACACCTCTGAAGAATGAGGAATAATTTTGCCACAGAATGCATACGAGATAGCGCGAACTAAAATTATTTTACCTGTTGAATTCTTGTTCATGATTTGACCTGCTTTTAAATTTGAAAACCCCATTTAAATGTTAAAAGATCTCAATATGAAAATACAAAACGTAAGCTACCAACAATATAGAGCTTGGTTAGAATGACAGGATGTGTATACTAGCCCGGTGTCGTGTAATAATCACACGGGCGTAATATTACCACGCGTGCGATAATTACGCGACACCGGCTCTATACTAGTATCGAAGATTAATCATTTTCAGTTGCAGGAGGTTAAGAGCTAATGTTGTTATCATTTTCAGGCAAGACGGCAAAGCCGTACCAGCCATATCCGACCGGGTCTAAAACACCATACAAAAAGCTACCAGACTGGGTGTCGGATGATGGGGCGTCGTGTATTGACGTGCTATGTGTAGTAGACTATAGTATTTATAGAAAGTAAGACATGAATAGTCTCGTCTTTTGTGTATCATAATCTATAATGCCCAAAAAAACTATTAATTCTCATTCTTAACATTGTGTATATGTAATAATGATTATTTTTTGAAATCAGTGTTAATTATTGTATAAATATACACCCAATATACAATTTCACAATTGTACAAACATAATCAAGTGTGCATACAAAAGGGTTGGGTCAGAAGTTCTAACAACATTATCGTGAGCCCTTCCAGTAAGAGCATGTTAGGTGCTTATTACCTGAAGAAAAGCATTGCTAAATTTGAAATTATTTGTCAAAAAATAAGCAAAATGTAAACAAAGTTGTAAGTTTTGACTTCCAAACAAAATACTAAATCATTACCATTATTCTAATTGATAAAAAGCAACCGAAGCAAAAAAAACGATTCAGGGGATTGGCTAGTAAGTTTTTGGAAACTATAATTTGGCCGCAGAAATAAAAAGTTTAAATTGAGAAATCATCTTTATTAATGTCCATCACACGATTTAAACAAGTTCAACATCTCAGAGTGTTTTATTCTTCTTTTTTTTTTACAGATTTAAAGCTTCAGAGAAGTCCGACAAGAAAGCCATGCAGAAGATACGATATTATTACGCACACGTTATAAATGGGGTATGGTCTGGTTTTTTTTATTAATAATTGTGGTTGGCTAACAGTATTTTAAAGTATACTGCACATATTTTACGCCTCTTTTCATTAGATTACACTTTTATATAAACTATTTACACGGCTGCTGTAATTGTTTTCTCTGGCGTAGGAAGTTTGCTGTATTATAACTTCGTTATAAAGATTCTTCTATTATATTGTCATATATGAACGGTTGTTTATAATATAGCTTAGTGGCTGGAATGATATATGCAATGTTTAATTATGTAGGGCCATATACCTTGTCAAAAATATTTAAAACTAATGAAATATAAAACATGCTAGAATGTGTACAAATTGAAGTTTTAAACACAAAGAAATATATATGTATAGGGATAATTTCAAAATCGTTCATTTACTTATATTGAAGATTTTGACACGTTAAAAGGCAAAAAATATACGTTTAGAAGGTTGACCCCTCCTCCCGCTCCCCGGGTACGCACATGCAGTTCTTTTTACACGGACATAGAACCTGTCAAAATGCTTTGAAACGGATCTTAAATATCCCACAAATATCCATTTATTTAAGTAAAAGAAATGAAAGTTACATCAGGAGTGTCACATTTATATTTTTGATTATATTATATTATGGGACATTCTCAGATTTCTGTTATATAATTCTATGTGACATTTACATATCAGATACTTTATGTATTTATATGTAATAACTTTTATTTTCAGATGAATATGAGATATTCAACAATTGCTCAAAAAGATTTAAAGATAAATGTGCGTCTAGCCGGTTATTTCATTGCAAAAGTAAGTAACATATATTTCAACAATGTTTTATCTAAAATTGAAACATGTGATCGTATACATGTGTAGTGTGTGTATGCTGGATAGGGCGGTTTGGGTTTCGGATGTGGTTTTATAGTTTTAATAGAGCTATATGTTTTGGATGGGTGTTGTTTCGGATGGGGTTATATTTTTTCAGATGGGACTTATATTTTTCGGATGGGGGTTATATGTTTTGATGGGGTATATATTTCGGGTAGGAGTGGATTCAGATGGGAGTTATATATTTCGGATGGTGCTTTTGTTCGGATGGGGATTATATGTTTTGGATGCTGGTTATTTTGTATGGGGGTTAATGTGTCGGGATATTAAAACTAAATCTGTTCTTCGTCTTCATCATCCCCCTCTCAAAAAAGTCTTGTGAAACTGAGTATCTTCAACACTACGTATTATAATATTGCACGTTTTTAACCTCGCTTTTCATTGGATAATTGTCACGTTTATACACACTATATACAATACACAACTACTGTCAGTTTATGAAGTTATTTCTTTTAAAGCTTTTACTGTAGCATATATAAGTTCATTATAAAGATGCTTTACAGATTATATAAACGTACGTAAAGTTTAAACGAGTGTTTGCAATATAAATCTATATAACTGATAATATACATAACTGACTTGATATTTTTCATTGCCTTAATTGCTTTCACCTGTTTCTTTCTATGCTCAACCAGATAAAACATATTGATAAATAGAAAACACATTTTTTTCAGAGGCCAAACGATTTATCTTTCATAGATGCTAATAAGATGGCGAAAGATGCCGGATATCGAGTGAACAGTAATTATACTCTAACAGAATTAGATTCCTTTTTAAAAAGAATGCAGAAAAGAAAAAAGAACGTGTTACCGGATTTTAATCATGCCATGTTATTTTTAGAGTAAGTTGAATTCTTGATAGCCTTTCATAACAAGGCTTTTATCATAATCAACATCATTCGTTCATTTGTTCGTTCGTTCGTTCGTTCATTTATTCATTCATTCATTCATTCATTCATTCATTCATCCATTCATTCATTCGTGCATTTATTCATTCATTATACATTCATTCATTGACAGATTCGTTCGTTCATTCGTGCATTTATTCATTCATTATTCATTTATTCATTCATTCATTCATTATTCATCCTTTCATTTATTCATATTTTTATTTTAACTTTGCCCAACCCTTTTAAACCAAACGAACATGATACAGCACCCGCGAAACAGCAGCAGCAGCAGAGTAAACCCGTATTTAAAATCGAAATTTATAGCTATATTTAAAGAGTTTAATTGGAAAAACACCACACTAAATACCCGTATTCCGGTATATACCGGGCAAGGCGCTTGGGTCAAAAAGCCCAAAAATCTTGGGCCCTTTTCACCCAAAAGGAAAGGAAAATTTAATTTGGTCTAATTCATCTTTTCACAACCCATTTAATTGATGAATGAATGAAAAATGAAAAAAAACGGGCGAAAAAAAAAGATATTTTTCTATTTTGTTTACAAAATTTCTGCAAACGTCAAAAAGTACTGCCCCAACCTGGTTTTAGTTAAATCCATATTTTAAAACGATTGATAGAAACGTAAAATCAATGCAATAGATCGATTTTATTAAAATTTTATTTTAAACTGTCCCGATGTCCAAAATTTTAAAAAATTTTTCCCAAATTTGTTTTGATTGTTGAACCCCTTTTTTTTTATTATTATGCTTTTTTCTCATCAAAAACGTTTTTTTTCTTTTCAGATAGCACTACAATAGGAGGTTCTTTTTTTAGGTGATTAAATTATAACCTGAAATTTTAAAAACGGAATTTCACAAAATACGATTTTAAAATATTTCGAGTATTTTTTAATTACTTTTGGTGTCTTTCCGTTTTTAATTTTAAAAAAAACTTTTTTAGGAAAATTCAAACTTTATGGGGTTTTTTGTTCAAGACCTCCGTGAGTCTTAACTCATCGGGTGAAATTTTTAGAAGTTAAAAGCTGAAAGAAAGTTTTATTTTGAAGGCATGTAGAAACACATTGCGATTTTATATTGTTCATGATTAACTTTATGCAAGGCTGAATAATGCTTGATATTTATTGCATGATTAACTTTAATTTCAAAATATTTGTATGATTTAGAATTGCATGATTCACGTTAAGCAAGATCAATTTGTATGATTTTTGTATTGCATGTCACGCATGATTAGAATCATCTGATCACCATATTGATGAGTCGGTGTATCAATACGCATTCCAGCATGGTGAACCGAAGGACGGTGTAGCTGGTGATGACGGAGGTAATACTACGCCTAGAAAATAGTTCTTTAAATTCTAGTCTACGTATCTTTTCCTTCTTTGCATTTCAAACGGTACTGGTTAGATTTGCGAGCAGTCATAAAAACAATGTAACCTTGTACAGGACTTAAACAATCGCTTTGATAATTTAAATAAATACAAAAGAACAATTTTTGGCGTGACCCAAAAGAATACTTTTATGAAAGTACGCATGCTTACGTGAGATGGTTTGTTCGGGTATTGAGTTTGTAAAAATTTGCATGCAAGTTATGTTCAAATAAAATATAAGTTGTAAGAATGATTTTGTGATGGAATGGGAATGATATAGGATGGTGGCTTGTATATTGGACTTTAAAATATAACACATAAATAACAAACAATTACACAAGATATAAACATGTACAAATACGAGAACAAATACAAAAAGAGATATTTGTACAAGACTAAAGACTATCAAAAGCATGAAATTTCCTTAATCGTGTAAGATGCAAAGTAAATAAGAAATGTCAATAAAGACACATAGATTTTACCAGTCTTGCACAGACCCCCCCCCCCCCCCCCCCCCTCCTACCATCCTTCGGTAGAAGGGCATAGCACTTTCTGACAATCAAATGGCACACTATGCTTCCTCCGTTGTTATTGCTCTATCCCCGTCTACGTTTGATGCCGTATTAATCCGGCAGTGTGAAGCAGACAAGATGGGTAAAATACGGCCCAGTTATTCTTCACACTCTTAAATTATTGCATTTACATCATTGGAGCATAAAACATTTAAGATTTCCAAAGAACTAAGCTACCATAATACAATTTCAGTGCACTATGATGATGGTATTTTATTTCCGGTCTTTTGCAGGAACAAGTTTTGTAAGCGGTATATGTTCGGATTCAAAGAGTACATCATTAGTGGTAGATCACGGAGCTTACACATCATCTGGCATAGGCACGCATGAACTTGGACATAAGTACGTAGATTTCGTGCAATATTCAATCCGCGAATACCGATGACGTCATTGTTACTATAAATAAGTTGTTTCTTTATTATGTCAAAATATACAATATAAGCTCGGAAAAATAGACTTTGCTGGCGGTCAGAATGGGATGAAATATTCTTCGAAGAGCCTAAAAACATAAAATTTGAAATTCGTACATAGATCATGCGTAGCACTTAAATATGAAAATGTGCAAAGGATAATAAATATACATACTCAAATTAAATTGAATATTGATTTTTTGTGTGCGGTTCTTAACCCGATTTAAGTGAAACTAAAACATAATTGAGCCGTGTCATGACAAAACCAACATAATGGGTTTGCGACCAGCATGGATCAAGACCAGCCTGCGCATCCGCGTAGTCTGATCAGGATCCATGCTGTTCCCTTACAAACCCTATAACAAGTAGAGAAACTGATAGCGAACAGCATGGCTCAATTATTCTGGGGAAAATGGGATGAAAGAATTATGTGAAAAATAATGCAAAGTTATAAGGACAGACCGAAATCAAATGGTACAAAAATACAGAAAACTATTTCCACTCCAGTCCTGTCAAAAAAAAACTCAGTGGAGTTCTTAAATTTTACTAATTAAAACAAGGTCTAACATATCTATATTGCGTTTTTTATTCTCATTCTATTTTTAGTTTAGGCGTTTACTGGCACGATGGAGAGGGAACTGCAAGGGGGTCCAGATGCAACGCTTCTCTGAATTATATCATGGCCCCCGCTTCGTACCTCATTGATGAGAAAAATCTTCGATACAGTTTCACGTTTTCCACATGTTCCACACAGCAAATTAAAACTCACCTGGACACCTTGATAAAGTTGTAAGTTTATTCATACATTAGCATATAATTTTGTTGATGCAAGGAGATAAGTGTGTTTGAATGAAAGTGTTTAATGGTTAATTAGTATGACAACGAATTATTGCAATAAACGAATCAATGGGCATGTACCAAAGCATCTAACAAGTAATAGAAAGAGCATCGAAACACGAGTGCAAGGGGTCGTAGCCCCCGAGTATAACTGAGATCACCGATTGTTTTATTGTTCTTCCTCTTTTGTATCATAGGCAGAAATAATAATAAAAAACACGTTCCCTGTTGTCACAATATGAAACCCCAGAAAAAAGTAAGCAATGAACGGCCATCTGAAAAAGATATTTCTATCGCTTTCCCTTTCTCTGCCATCACAATAAGTAAGCCCCAGCAAAAATGGACCGGATTAAACGATACGATTTAACTGCGACACATTTTTAACAGAAAGGTCCCCAAACTATGATACAATATTACCATACCCATGTTTATTGTGCTGTAGTTAAAATGAAACAAAACTATTCCAACTCAATATACTTGTATTACTGAAACTAAATCTGCAAACAATATAATCCAAATATTTTAAATCAAACAAATACGGTGAACTTGTTTTGATCAAAAACTCTGACCGAAACACTGCAACGATTATTCAGATTAAAAACTCCTTATCCGAAGTTTGACGGAGTTGGCCGAGAAGAAGCGATTGCGAAAAAGTCCTTGCAAACTAAGCTAACAATTTCAAATCATCCCAAAGGTTATATTTATTGTAGGAACCGAAACTGCTTGCAGTGTAACCAGCGAGACAGGAAGTCTAAGTCAGACACAAAAATAGATAAAGAAGTTGAAAATCATTTGAAAATTTTACCCGGAGAAACGGACAATGTACATACACAATGTCGACAGTTATATGGACAGGGATCCTTTATGTGTGTAAGTTTTCTTCTTTTTTTTTCTTCTTTTTTAATGCCCCAATCGCTTTGACCAGTTGCTTTTGTTGCTGTTCAATTTACATTGGAGATTATGTCAAAAAGAAAAAAAACTGCATGTAGTTTTATCATTGAAACTAACGTATTTGTTTCTTATTTGATATATTGTAGCCGCCAAATAGCCCTGACGAAATGTGTTATAGAATGTATTGCTACGACCCGAAGCGTAGTGCATGCGCAATCATCAGTGAACAAATGGCGGCCACCGGAACACCATGTGGTAGATACAAGGTACCGTAATTTAGGTTTAATTAAGATTTTTTGAAATTTGTATTTTTGCTAGATATTTTGCATAAAAAAGGGAGCTGATAATTGATGGTTAAATTAATGTAAATTTCCGAAACATATTACTAAAACACTAGATAATGTATAGTCTTGCTACAACACTAAAGAAATCAAATAAATTTATCAGAAGAGATAAAAACAGTGACTGGCATATTGACAATAAGATGTGTTATAATTTCAGGTGTGCAACATGGGCAAATGTGTGAGCGATTCCAAAGGAAAAGATGTTCCAGGTAAACTTAACTTCTTTCTTTCTAAATGTGTAGGCGTGACCCATTGATGACTCGAATTATTTGCAGCTGTTTGATGTCCGTAGACCATATCTTGGCTTACTGTTCATAAATGTAAATAATCGTTTTCCCATTTGTGAAGACATGCATGTTTCGAAAACAAATCAATGCATTACAGTCAATTGTCATTGATTTTAGTAAATAGGAATAGAGAAAATGAAACAAGCATTCTTTAAGCCAGATTGGGAAGAAATAGTTCAGCTTTTTACGGATCACTTTCGAGTCTGCTTCCGGGAACTATCCAGTATTGGCCTCAAGGTTTTAAAACATTTTCCCAAGCTATGTCTCGAATGTCAGGACTTAATTGTTCAGTATACATTCTGTGTCTGTTTCTGACTATTCAAATATCTAAAAACTCCTTGATAGCCTCGAACCCTTGTGTCATATGGAAAAACATGGACGTTACGTTACTCATACACGATTAATATAATGTAGCCTTTAAGTTGTACAATTGCAAGAACATTTAAGTTCAAGTGCTCAAAAAGTATCCTGAGTTAAATCCATCGGATCTCCGTTAGCTAGTTAAACATCTTCCACACTTTGAAGAATAAAAAGTGATTATCGGGACAATGGTGAAGGACCTTGTCGGGATTTGAATCCATAGGGGCAAAGGTTGGCTTTGTCGGGATTTGAACCCACAGGATCAACGGTGAAAGTCGTTGTCGATATTTGAACCCACAGGCTCAACGGTATAGGGGCTTGTTGGGTTTTGAACCCGCAGGAACAACACTGAAGGACCTTGTCAAGATTTAAACCAACAAGAACAACGGTGAAAAGCCAGTCACTCGATGTCGGAAACCTTAAACACTCTGCTGTGTTGGCTTCCATTTTACGTATATGACAATTGTTTATTTTATTTATACAGATGATTGTCCATATCCAGATATACCGTCATATGGAGCCCACTGTGAGGACGCCACACCATTTATGTGTAAAAATGACAAGTTTAGGCAAAAATGCTGTAACTCTTGCAGTAAACGTAAGTATGATTTATATTATTTTTTAATGATTTAAATCTTATTCTTGAGAGAGTCATTTTATTCATTGATTCGTTCGTTCGTTCGTTCATTCATTCCTTTTCATTCTTTCATTCATTTATTCATTCATTTATTTATTTATTCATTCATTCATTCATTCATTCATTCATTCATTTATTGATTGATTGATTGATTGATTGATTTATTTATTTATTTATTTATCTATTTATTTATTTATTCATTTATTCATTCATTCATTCATTCATTCATCCGTTCATTCATTCGTTCATTCGATTCATTTCAATTCAATTTATTTCATTCATTCATTCTCTCTGATTTATTAATTAATTTATTCTTTATTCGTATATTTCATTTATTTGTCCATCGTGATAGAGTAGGATACCACAACTTATCATAAGCTCCGTGGACATATCCAATGCACGTGTAGTCTGAGACAATATTACAACTCTCGTGACGTGTACGGGTTATTCCTTTCTTATAAAACTAATAGTGAAAAACATTTTAGATATAAAAAATCACGTGATTGTCTACTCGTACCAAAACAAAAACCCTCAAATAAACGAGACTCTATATCTTAACCTGCTTTAGCATTTGCCCAACCGTATAGGGCAGGTATACTGTTGGCTGACCATCTTCAAATTTGCATCCTAATTTCCCTAAATTTGAAAATCGACAGTTTCGGAAATAAACAACTGTGCAAGTACATTAAAATTTTTACGACATTCAGCATGTTAGAGGCTAAAACACCATAAATGTTCACCATATATGCTTGCCGATGAACTCAAATCATCTAGTACCAAAGTATGACCATTCGACCTAGTAAACGGACACTCTCCACATTATAGTAAGATAAATTAGGTTCACGAACTTGCAAATATTAAATAATTTAGAGCGAATATATTTCACTTTGCCTGTAAGCATTATTGTATTATAATACCGTCGTCATTAGACGTTGTGTACCGTGTACAGGTTTCAGTGTGTCTAGTCGAAAAAGACGGAATGTCGGAACACACAGAATCACCTGTTATTTAACCCAAATTAAAAAAAACGACAACCGGTGATTCCGCATAATAGCTTACATGGTAAAATAAAGGTACCGTTAATCAAGAATTTAAATAAGACAGCATGAACTAAACAAATGAAGTATTGGTCACGGGACTTAATTTTGACAAAGCCTTTCTTTTGTAAATTTTTTTCTGCAACATCCGGAGAAAAAAATCGAGGGAGCATAACTGGTTTCTAAGTTGTCCGTCCTTGGTCACTCTTGCTGATAGTTGTTGTTTTCTTTTTAGATTATTCGTTATTGTTGTCATTATATGTATATCTATGACGCCTACCCTTATGTCCAGGGATAAAGAAAATGTCATCTCCGTCAGTTGTCCGATATCTTTAATATTTGGTGTCTAGCATCTATCAATTTGAATTCGACGGAATTTCAACACTTTTCACCCAAATCTATGATGTCTGATTTGTAACGCTTATGTGCGTCGTGTTGTCGCTAACTTTCATATATTGCGAATACTTTAAATTACATTTGTGTCTAAACAGTATACAATATGCCAGATTATTTGCGCTCGCTTAGCTTTATATGGAGAACATCGGATAAGAAATCCTGGTTGCATTGGTTCAAGCCTCGGATGAGGCGTAATTTTTCCGTGACAATTGATATTCAACATTGTGTGTAATGGCCATTTTGTGTCTCATTGCTGATTCAGACATCATGTTGGAGATTAAAGGGACTCCACTGAGGTTTAAAAGCCTAAAAACATAACATTTGAATTTCTTACATAAATGAGCTGATACACTTTAAACAGAAATATATGCAAAGATAGTTAAGAAATATACTTTGAAATATATTGAAAATCGTGTTTTTATGTTTTTCTTATCCCGATTTGAGTGAATAGCGTTTAAACGCTTTTCATTTTGGGTCATTCTTTTACAATTTGAATAATTATTCTGGAAAAACGAAGTGCGCGATTGATCTGAAATTTTGCACAAAGATTAGTGGCCTTAACATTCATCAATTGGTGCATTTATCTGGAAAAAAATATTTTCAGTCCCATCATGTAAAAAAAAAACCTCAGTGGAGTCCCTTTAATAGTCGGTCACTTGTTTGTTATCTAGGAAAGCCGGTTAGTTGGATCAATCGCCGAGATATGACCAAAACATATGTTAAAGGAACTCCACTGCGGTCCAAAAATCTCAAATCAAGAGATCAACTGGTGCACTTGAGAGAAAGATTTGCAAAAGATAATTAAGAAATATACTCAGAAATAAATTTAAAATCGTATCTTTTTCCCCTTTCACCAGTTTAAAATGACTTTTGAAATTCCTTTAAATTTTGGGCATTTTGTACAATTGAATTACATTCTTGAACAACGGTTTCGCTAACCCCAAAATTGTGCACGTCAGACCTTAAAAATTTAAAAAAAAAAAAAAATTTCCCTTTTGTCAGAAATTGTCAATGGACCCCTTACAACCAAAAAAAGTTAACAAAAAATTTTAACTTTTTTCCCCAAACTGGCGCGGGAGAAAAGAATTTTCTTAAAAAATAGGGTTCGAGTGGGGGCCTTCGTTTTACAATTTGTTCATGCACACAAAAGTCACTTTTCGGCATCCCCAAAAAATTTTGGGAATTAAAATTTTAATTTTCTAACATTTCTAACTTTTTTCATTTTTTAATTTTTTCGGAGGAGGATTTGAAAAGAAGCCAATCCCATCAATGGAATCCCTGTGACAGTAATGAAATCCTTTTTCGGTCGACAGGTTGCCAGGTTTTACAATTTAAAAATATGTTTCCTGGGGAAAAAGTAAGTCATTAAGTTGTTTGGGGGTTATTCCCCAACCCCCCAAATTTTTTAATATACCCCCCATTTGGGGGGGGGGGGGGGTACTTTAGATTTGCCTTTACTTTTGTCGTGGTGCGGGGGTTCCCATATTTGTCACTTTTTTATTAGCTTAAAATTCTCGAGCTAAGTCAAAAAACTTAAAGGAATTTTTGATCGCATGTAAATGTGCAATGGGGTTTCCGTGGGGGATTGACCATTTGTTTGGGGGTTTTGCCCTTGTTTAGTAAAAATTGCAATTTCCAATTTGTCCCTTGCGTACTAAACAAGTACATAAGAAAAAAATCAGAAACTTACAGAAATGATTTAAACAGTGTTTTTTGTATTTTTTTCCTTTAAAGGTACTTTAGGAAAAGGGAGACTTGAAATTTGTAACTAATTTTTGGGAAAACTTTCCAAAATGGTTTTGGAAAATACTGTTATCAAAATGTAAATACGTGTATATCGAATAAAATATAGTTTTAACCAATTTTGGGAAAATTCAAGATGATTACAATGGAAAAATTGGGCGTCATTGTTATACTCTCCCAATTAAGGGTAGGGGAATCATGTAGATTTTTAATTGTCTTTCCGTTGGCATTCTGTCTTACTATACGTTTAGACTCAGTGGAATTTGGGGAATGCCTGACCTGTGGACAATTTTATGTTTTTCTTCTCTTTTTATTTTTTCATATTTTTTATGCCCCCTTCTCAATGAACGTTTTCTGTTTTCAAGGTTATTCTCCTTTTCACTTTTCAAATTTGTTGTTGCTGTTTGTCTTAGCGCTATTTTTTTTTGTTATTTTTCTGTCATTTTCCCGCTGCCGTGATACTTCAAACTTTCCCGTTGCCTTTTAAATTTTTCTTTTTTTATATTTTCTTCCTTCTTGAGATTTTTGCCTTTTTGACTTCCCGTTTTCCCTTTATCATTGCGTGTTGCCTCGGGATTTAGAGGCACATACCGTATATATTGATTCGTTTTCTGTCTCCTGGTATTTTTCAATACTTGTCGGAGTCGGTGACAGTTCGTCCACATCCAACTCACTGTTCTCATTATTTGAAAAAAAAAGATGTAAATAATCAAGGAGCAATTGAATTTATCATTATGACGTCATGAGAATGTATGTAGATGTCTTTACTTTTCAAGAATATTTTATGTTTGCATACAATATCTATATAAATTATCTATATTGCAGAATTGATACAGACCGGAAATTCCGGAGTCATGATACACATTGGTGTTGGTTCCCGACTAGGACCGCAGGCACCATCTATCAGAAACCAGTTCGGAACCAGCGGTGGTCTTCTATCAAACATAATAAATAGGCAAGTACTATATTATAATTATATAAAATGATCCAATGGCAACACTTTCTGAATTGAAATCTAAGCGTTAAAATTGAACAAAAATCCTAACAATGACGTAACTTCCGGTGAATAACAATATTTCGAATGCAAAACTAAAACCAAAAGTCATGGCTATTGTGCTTACAACTTGTTCGATGAGTTATCAGTGGTTACCTCTGTTATTAATGATTAAAAGTCACAATATCTACATTTACTTTTGTTAACTCAAAAGTCTTATAAATGATTTTACTTGGGGGGAGCAGAGTAACAACCGGTAAATTTTCTAATTTGTATTAAATATTTCTACGAAAAAAGGATATCTTTGAATAATCGTATGTGATGAAGCTATCCAGCTAGCTTACAGAACGTCGGCGTTCTTACTGAGGTTCTTCCACCACCATAACTAGGAGGTCGCATAATATGATTTCATTCAACGCGTTCAATAAATTTCATTAACTTGACCTTAACTCCAATCGAACGTTGCGTAACACTACTTAAAACGTCGTATTTCTTCTCGTCACTTTGAGGCCACAATCCATATCAAAATCTGCAGGGAGTAAAACATCAAACAGAAATCACCGTTAAGAAAATCGTCATAGACCACCCACCACCGCGCAAGACTATCAAAGAAAAAATCCAGAGGCTGTACAGATACCAATAACGTAACGTCAATCAGTGACTGTGAAAAATAAAAAAGAATTCCCCGTCTTGGTGCAGAATTGTATTGGTTGAAAAAAAACTTCTGGCTGCATTTCTTGTATAGAATACAGAGATGACATCGTGTAGTTTAATAAAATGTGTTTTTTTATTTTTAAACATCACCATATTTGTCAAAAATATGTAATAACGTTAGATGGCCCCCCTGGTGGGAGTTTTTAGTCCGCTTTTCGAATCAAATTGCAGCAAATTCAATGTAAGAAGAGGGACCAGTTGTCTTTTCAAACTGTACCCGCTCCTGCGTGAATTAATCAATAACATGGAGTTTGAGTAAAAATTAAGTGGCAGGACGAGTTTAAATCCTGTATTGACAGATGACGCAGACATCTGTCACGACATACCTTTCTGATAACAACTTTTTTTTCCGTAGAGACTGGTTACGTTCCTTATAACAACGCTAACACAAGGTATAAAGTATACTTAGTCGTGTGGCCACGAGTTCTATGTCGTGGGCCCGAGATAGGTTAAGTTGTGGCCACGAGTTACTAAGGTCGTGGCCAACGAGATAAATTAAGTCGTGGGAACGAGATACTATGTTGTAACCACTAGTTACTAAGTGGTAGCCACGACATAGTTAAGTTGTGCGAACGAGATACTGTGTCGTGGCCACGGGTTCCTAAGTCGTGGCCTTTAGATACATTTATTTAAGTCGTGGCCACGAGATACCATGTCGTGGCCACGAGATACTATGTCGTGGCCACGAGTAACTAAGTCGTGGCCACGAGATAATTAAGTCATGGGACGAGGTACTTAGTCGTGGGAACGAGATTCTATGTCATGGCTACGAGTTACTTAGTCGTGACCACGAGATAATTTAGTGGTGCGCACGAGATACTATGTCGTTGCCACGAGTTACTTAGTCGTCTGAACGAGATAACTAAGTCGTGGTCACGAGATAATTAACCAATCAGATTACACTATGATTACACTAACATTTATCTTCTAAAATACTGAAGTGTTCACTTTAAACTTGATACATGTCTGTAGGATCATACTAGAAAGTCACCTTCTAAGGCCCATCATAAATCACACATTAATTTTGACTAAGTTATAGCCCTTTGTGGGGACAATTTTATGATAGAATTGGTCAGTTTGTTAGTACAACGGCCTGTTAACCTTGTTAATACGATAACTTGAAAAGGAATAAGTCACTGGTAGGGACATTGCCCATGGACAGTAGATAGCCTATAAGTATGCTTGAGGTCAAGGCTCAAGGTAAATATGACACTTCGTGTAAAATCCTTGTCATTTCAACAACAAAATGCCTTTTCTAGAGTTATTCTGATATAGCAGAAAGCTTAAGCTTAACATCGTTGAAGTTACAAACACAGATCCTTGTATAGTGTTTACATTTTTCCACCTTTTCTTTTCTGGGCTATCACTTGATGACAGTCTGGAGTCTCGAAATCCGTTAGTGATATTCGTATTAATGAAACAATCCCCTTTATGGATCTTCTTCTTTGGTTTTGCTGCAAAACTTTCCGCCGAGTATCACACCACACACGCAACACAATGCTACAAATATGAGAACATAAAATATCCAGTCCATTATTGTCACAGCGAGGGCGAACTTTATCAGGGACGTATCACAGCAATCAGTCGATCCACCACAACCATCCATCACATCCGAATAATTTCCGAAAACCCAAACACTTCCTGTAACATCCAGATATACAAAGAATAAATGATTTAGTAAAAGTAAAACGGTTTTTTTAAATCTGCATTAAATTTTATTTATTTTTTCAAAATTGTATTGTTTTTATTTTTGTTTGAAAAAAAGTGTCTATAATTCAAACTTACAAGATATTAACTTTTGCGACTTTCCTAGTTTTCCATTTAAGCTAGGCATTTGCAACAAAAGAAGAAACAGAATGGGAAGAAAATATTATAAAGAAAAAGGCTCAGAGTAAAAAAGAAACACTTTCTTCTTGTGCAATTTTAAGCTCCATTTGAGTGCAAAGCGTTGCAAAGCTTCTCATTTTTCTTCTTTTGTGTCTTTTTGTATAATAAAAATTATGATTCTGAAAACAACAGGATGTTGGTATTGTCTGAAAATTGTCATCAAGTAATTGAGCCAGACATACATCAAATGGTATACAAAACTTGGAAAAATATTCCCTGTCCCGTTTTGTTAAAAAAAACTCTGTTAAGTCCCTTTGCTGTGTTACACAAAACAAAATCTAGGGAACTAGGTTATAATTTTTTAACCAAATTTCAATACTTGCACCAGATTTTAACGATTTCGACTTACATAACTGTATACACCAAATCTTACACGATATAAACGTTTTTCACATTTGATTTTGCCACAGAATAGCATCTACCACAATTCAGTGAATTCACTTCTTACAAAAGAGTTTGTTTTTAGAAAAATGACAAAACTGTATACAGTAAACTTCACTTATAGCGAACACGGTTATAGCGAACTTCCGGTTATAAGGAACAATTTATTTTGGCCCGAATTTTGCCCTTTTCTTTATTTAATATAAAAATATATGGTTATAGCGAACACGGTTATAAGGAATTATCACTTATAAGGAACTCATTTCTTAGTCCCAATTTAGTTAAAAGTGCAGAAAATTACACTTTTATAGCGAACTCCAAAATATCGGCTATCCATAAATTCATCCCGCATTTTCAACTTTCTTTTTTGTAGGCTCTTCAAAATGGAATAAACAGTTCGTTATGTGTAAATCTGTTCGCTATTAAAACTCCTGATATAAGGAACTAATCGCTTTATGCTTACAATGAACTCCGGATATAAGGAACAGATTTTGAATGTCCAAATGAGTTCGTTATATGCGGAGTTTACTGTACATCAAAGCTTACAGGATATTAACTTTTATTATCAATTCTACCACAGATCTGCATTTACTAAATTTTAGTACCCGGTTAAAAAGAGTTTTTTAAAATATAATGTCTGCAACGAAGTTTCCCCATATTTCTTTTTTGCCCCATATAAACCCCAAAACTCATTTTCACAATTTAATACTACCAAGATAAGCCCCCCGAATTTAACAAAAAAAGCAATAACCCCACGCTGTTAAAATTTCTTTTCTTTATATCGCCCCTTTAACATCCGGGGATTTTCTTTTTATAAACCGAAAGTCCCCAAAAAAGGGGCGACCCCCAACGATTAGGTTAAAAAGGGATTAGTTTTGTATAGGACAAAGCTAGTATAGCCCTGAAAAAAGGTGATAGAATATGTACCTCTAAAGTGTATTTAAAATTGGGTGTAAAATTAAGGAAATAAAAAATTACATTTTTTACGGTGTGCACGCGATATTTTACGAAGCCACATGCTGGATACCGGTATTTTGTGCGCAGTCGAAAGCTAGTACGTGCGGATGCGATAGTGAAGCATGGCCAAGCAATAGCTATAACGTGCACACGTGAAAGCTGTTACATGGCTGCGCGAACGTAATACCTATCGCATGGCCACGTGATACTATCGAGTTCGAACATTTAAGATATCGTGTGCGCACTGTAGGAGCACATTTGTCTCAGTGCACATTTGTCTTACGTAAGACCGATGCAGTTCCATTTGTTCGACCTCAAATGTCACCCCCCCCCCCCCCCCACACACACACACAAAGAAAAACAACGAAACAAAAACACATTTGTGTGACAAATGTGCTCCGATCAAGTTTTTTAAAGGACAAGAATAATCATTTGTCTCGTGGTTTTTTAGGGATAAGACCGAAGGTTCAGTGTGAGCTATTAGTATCAAGTGCGATGCTCCGGCGTCCGTCGTTCGTCGTCAAGGGTCTTTTTCTCTTAAACTGCTGGGCAGATTTACTTCAAATTTGGTTTGTTGCATCCTTCTGATATGATTTTCTAATTTGTTTAACTTCCGCGGATAACGGTATTTTGATACTTCTTTTAATGCTTATCTGTAAAAATCGGTTTGATTGCATGGCTAAAAATAGCTTTCTCGGAAATCCAAATTATAATGTAGGTGAAAAATATATGGTGGTCATCAGATGTACATGGCAGAAAATCAGTAGATCTGCACTTTAGTCAGGTTGGTGAGACAAATGTGCTCCTACAGCACACTCATTAAAATGGGACATAGGAATAAGCTTTTGTATACTAGGTAAATTGTTTAGGTAAATAGATGTAAAAGGAGCTAAAGGTATAATATGGAAGAAAAAAATAAAATAGGACAATATAGTAGCATAATTCGCAAATCCCTCACTCTTTTATTTGGTTTAAACAGTGTTTATTTTAGGTCAATTGTGTAGGAAGCTATAAGCTTATAGACACACTGTCGAATCCGTTCCTAGAACCAACCAGTACTGAGCAATCATTGTAAAGTTTCTTGCTCAAGGAAACAACGGCTTGCCCCTGATGGGTTTGAACCCATGCGGCCACCGGTTATTTAAGCACAACTAGAACATAGTCTTCTTCGTCATGTATGAATGATTAAAAATGATTAATTTCTAAAATGTTATATTATATATAGTGTCTTACCAATGACGATCTTGGCGATATTTAGGCCGAAAAAGGCGACGACAAGAAGAACTACCACAATTATAAGACCTGGAAAATAACTAGAACTGTGTGACACGGACGCCCCCACTGTGCAGATGTGCTCGTAAACAAGAGCATGCATATCTGTATGTAAGATTTTTATGTGGAACTTTTTATTCTGCAGTTGCAAAGGAATTTAGGAGTCCTGTATGGTATATAGTGAAAGGCCATAATTCTGTTAAATTTGGTCGCAGCAAAATTCCTTCATTTACTACCATTTACACATTAAGGTCGTTCATCCCTGGAAGTTTAAGCAAAATCTGCCATCCGGTTTAAGAGGAGTTGCGTTCACAAAATTCTTTATAGTGAAAAAATCAACAAAGGGCCATAATTCTGTTAAATTTGGTTGCAGCAAAATTCCTTCCTTTACTTCCATCTACACATTAAGGTTGTTCATCCCTGGAAGTTTAAGCAAAATTTGCCATCCGGTTTAAGAGGAGTTGCGTTCACAAAATTTCTACATAGTATATAGTGAAAAAAATCAAGAAAGGGCCATAATTCTGTTAAATTTGGTCGCAGCGAAAATTCCTTCCTTTCCTGCCATCTACACATTAAGGTTGTTCATCCCTGGAAGTTTAAGCAAAATCTGCCATCCGAGTTGCGTTCACAAGATTTTGGGACGTACGGGACAGACGTACGGACGGATGAACGGCCAAGTGCAACGCTATATGCTCCCCATTTTGTGGGGGCATAAAAAATGTGACCGAGTTAGTGGTTAAAGCGTCTAGATCTATCGTAATGTGAAATATAATTATGCTCACTTTTTTATGGAACACTGCTATGCACTTATCTTCCGGACCCATTGCCATACCACCCCCAGACACACACGTATGAACGCACACGTTATATATCCAGCTTAATACATGTAAAACACATCAGTAAAACAATTTTCTGAAATATTTCTTGTATATTTCCCTCTTCAAGTGCGTGCTATGTCTTAGTCAGAAAACACACACAAGCGCACGCACGAACATACACACACGCACACGCGCGCGCACACACGCACACACACACACACACACACAAAGAACAGGGTTTCATTCTTATTTGGTTTTGAAATTTTTTGGGAAAGAAATATAAACAAAAAAAAAAAAATTTTACCCAAAAAAAAAAAGGAAATTTTTCGTCAAAAAAAGCCCTGACCTTTCTCCCCTGACCTTGACTTTCCAGGGACCCCTTCACCCCACAGCCCCATACCCCTTCCAAAAACGGAAAAAAAAAATTGTTTAAAATTTTCATGAAACACAAAAATCTTTAAAAAGACCCTATTTTGTTTTTTTAAATTTTTAAGGGTTTTTAACGGCCATATAACCCGTCAAACTTTTTTTCGAATTATAATGCAGCAAAAATATATTTGGGGGAAAAAGGCAAGCAATTACGATTCAGATTAAAAGGGTAATTTAAATAATCAAATTAAAATTTATTAAAAAACCATTAAAAAATCACAAACGTATTTAAACAAATGAAAAGAAAGACGTGAATTTTTCATGTAACCACTTTTTTAAACATTTTTTAAAATAGAATTTATTTTATTAAGCGCTGACAAAAAGCCAAGAAATCAATAACAACAGTTGGAGGACTTTTAAATTATTAAGTGCGTGTGTTGAAAATTTGATTCTAAAGAAAACGAAGATATGAAAAAAAACTTTTCAAAAATTTAAATATTAACAGATAAAATATTAAAATTGTCCTTTATAAATTTTTTTTCCAAAATAAAAACGTCGTAGTTTGTTATTTTTAAAAGTTATGAATTTGAATTTAGAGTTAAATTTAAAATTTTTTTGATGCAAATTACAACAACCATTTTAAAATCTAAATTAAGTCAAAAAAAGTTAAAGCACGATTAAATATTTTTGGAAGGGATTTTTTGCCATTTCACTTACCAAAAAACCAGTGAAAATTTAAAAACTGACTGGTTTTTAAATTTAATATTTTTTAGGATTTTGAGACATTGATCAGTTTAACGATAATAACAAAATAATAAACATACCATTATTATCATTTGACATGTGCTGAATTAAAGGGGGTTGTCTGTAGAATGTCAGAGCTTTTAAAAAATGAATCTTGAAAAATATAACATAAATCTAGAGATGAATGGTATGAATAATTATAATGGTTAAAGAACGATTGGTTAATAATGATAATAGTAAAAATGGTAATAATATTATAAATTTCGAGATAACGACAACGACGACGATGATGATGATGATGATGATAACTTATTTCTTATTGTTATTTTTGTTTTGTGGGTGTTGTGGTTGTTAAAAATGATAACGATGATGGTGAATTTCTAATAATGAAAATGATGATTTGATGAAAATGATGAAAAGGAAGAGGTGAAGGGGGGGGGGGGGGGTAGCTCAGTCGGTAGAGAAGCAGAACGGTACACCGAGTGTTCCGGGTTCACGATGTATCGCAGCAACGTAAAAATAACTTACGAATTGTGCAGAAGTAACACATTATCTAATTCTATAGGAACCAATATATTCTATAGTGAATTAAAATGTTGAACTGAATTAGCTCATACGTTTGTTTGTTTGTTTGTTAGATTAGGTTTTACGTCATACCGACACAGTATAGGTAATATCGCGACGTTCAAGCTTTACTGATGGAGGAAGACCTCAGGTGCTCCTTCGGGCATTTTTTCAGGCACGAACGGGCACATGAGTAGAACCACCGACGTTCCGTAAGCTAGCTGGATAACGTCCTAGCGCATACGGTTGCTAAACATTATACTTTAAATCTTATTATAAGAATCTAGGATAGTGCTTGTATTTTTAGATCATTCGTGAGAACCTGCATGAATAGTGTATTAAGGCGACTGCAATAATTCATATATTGCATTATAGTTTCTAATGTTCGGTGTTGCTGAGAGTTTTAATGTTCTGTGTACCTACTTGTATCATTTTATGTGTCATATAACATTGAAATTGGCATCTATGAGATATTAGACCAAGGTAACTCCGATTGCAACGAAGCAACAATGGTTACCCTATAAAACAGTACAATACATGTGCCTGAATCATTCAAGATTGATCTGTTTTCATTTTAGGTTAAACTGTAGTATTGATTTTCCAATGACTGACATTATGAGAAATGGTTCCTAAAAATCCTAACTTGATATTGAGCTTTCGTGCTACAGAAGTGCTTTATCTTGGTGAATGAAATGCCTGACAAGTACAATTATTTTATTATGCATGTATAGGAAGCAAACCAAATTATGTAAGTTAAAAGATTTCAAATATACACTGCTCATACGAACATGATAAAAATAAAACAAAAACCAACAAAAAACGTATTTGTTATTTCCGTTTAAGTGAGGCACACATTTGCTGTTTGAAAATACATTGAACCTTTCATGTACACGTATTTCTTTAGAAATGTGTCTCACCATGTGTTTACTTAATCGTGTCTGATGCTTTAATAAGTTTTATTAAGATCCAAATGTCAATAGAAATACAAAGATTATACCAGTTTCGTACAGACACCCATCTCCTTAAATCCTGGCCTCCTCTTACCACCCTTTGATGGAAGGGCAGTGGCTTTTGTGGCAATCAAATATGTCACAGTCCATCCTATTTCTTAACATTTCTTTATGTTTATGTCGTCCGGCAGTATGAAGCAGGAAGAAGATTAAAATACGGCTCATTTACCCCATTTATTCTCAACACCCTTATATCGAGCTCGAAGGACAGGTCCTCAGGGCACAGCAACTGTTACCCTTATATCGAGATCGAAGGACAGGTTCTCAGGGCACAACAACTGTTACCCTTATATCGAGATCGAAGGACAGGTCCTCAGGGCACAGCAACTGTTACCCTTATATCGAGATCGAAGGACAGGTTCTCAGGGCACAACAACTGTTACCCTTATATCGAGATCGAAGGGCAGGTCCTCAGGGCACAGCAACTGTTACCCTTATATCGAGATCGAAGGACAGGTCCTCAGGGCACAGCAACTGTTACCCTTATATCGAGATCGAAGGACAGGTTCTCAGGGCACAACAACTGTTACCCTTATATCGAGATCGAAGGGCAGGTCCTCAGGGCACAACAATTGTTACCCTTATATAGAGATCGAAGGACAGGTCCTCGGGGCACAGCAAGTATAACGGTAACTCGAGTATCTCTAAGTGTTGGTTTTGAAAACCTTTGCTGGAGATACAGAAAAATTATTGGTAATAAGTTTTGCCTGCTCTTCATCAGGGATTATTTTAGTTCCCTTTCCTACTATATTTGAAGAACGCGCCAGAAATCAGAACCAACAGGTTACCAGCTCTATTAGTTTTTGATTTGCTGTCTTATTATGGTTCCCACGCTAACTGGCATTCGGAAAACCTTGCTGATTACCATCATTCCTAATATGGATTATTTTGTTTTAAAAATAACTTAATTATAAGATTGAATGAAGTTGACCTTTTCAGTGTTTTTTCATTAGTCGATTTTTGTTTATGGTTTACGTCAGCAATAAACATCTTTTTATTGGTCGCTTCTGTTTTTGGCGGTAGATTTACGTCAGCAATAAACATCTTTTTATTGGTCGCTTCTGTTTTTGGCGGTAAATATTTTTGACCATTTGTTTCCTGGGCCTTTTTGTCATTCTGTATTTCGTCGACTTAGAGATCACATGTTTTGATAATTAAAAAATTTTTTGATATTTTATACAGAATTTGTTCAACTAAGTTGAGGAATTTTATTTAATTTATAGACTGGTATAATTATCAGTCAGTTAAAAAATTTTTTACTTACTAGAGAGGATTTTGGAAACATTTTACGTTTTGTGATAAAACAAAACGTGTAAATTATTTTGCACGTGTGAACTTTTTCAAGGACATAAGACAGTGTTAGAGATTATGTCAGAACCGGATTTATAGACTGGTATTTTTATCGGTCAGTTGAAAAATATTACTTAACCGGGAGGATTTTGGATACATTTACGTTTTGTGATAAAACAAACCGTGCACTTAATTTTGCACGTGTGAACTTTTTCAAAGACAGTAGACAGTGTTAGAGGTTATGTCTTCCAATGAGAAAGGGGAACATGTTCAAAAGAAGTCCTTGCCACAGAGAGGGAAAAGGATCGACTATAAATTGCTCAACGAGGGTGTCGGAGATGAGATAGAAGAATCCTTCTGGACACAAGGGCACGTAACTGATCTCAAATTATTGGTTGGAGATTCAGCGGAAGCGGAAGTAATAACCAAACATGAAGACGAAGGGAATTCGGATATACAAGATGCGGAGGGTGCAATAGGCCCGGATATTCTTGAGATGAAAAAGGAGTTACAAGCTCTGCATGAAGAAGAAAGACAATTGAAAGAACAGATGTCCGAGGCAGAGATGTTAAGGAGACAAATTGCCCAGAAAAAAGATGATGTTCAGAAATTAAGAGGTGAGGCAATTCAGTCAACAAAATCGCGGAAAAAAAGTAACTTTAGTAAAAAATCATCTGTTCAAAATGATACAAATGTTGATCAACTTACTATTAATGATTTACGAAAGAACAAAAAATTACGACGTAAGGCTAAATCACAGTTGCACAAGATTGGTTTAGATATTTTTAGTTCTACTTCCGAGTCAGATTCTGACTCTGATTGCAATGCAAGCTCTGTAATTGATTCAACAAAAGTACTTAAAAGTAGTAAGAAAAAGATAAATGATTTGAGTTCTGCAGAAGATTCTGAGCAGGAATTTGATTCCAATTATTCCTGTAAAAATAAAACAAAGTCCGGTATTTTGGCTAAAGCTGGGGATAGGGTTGTAAATAGACAGCATTATCCGCAGTCAAGTCTTAGATTTGAATATGTAACTGGTTCAATCACATTTGATAAATTGGATATAAATTTGTTTGTTGCGGGGGAATTAGAAGTTATTTCCAATCCCTCTATTCATACTTTAGAGCGTAAAGCTAGAATTGAACTGTTAAAGAAATTGATGTATCTTTGTTCATCTTATGACTTTTCTATTGTTAAAAGTTTTTATGCCGCTGTATTAAGGGAGATAGAATTGGGTCATCTCCAGTGGGGAGACTCTTATCAATATGTTGAGTCAGCAATTTTGACAAGTCATGTTATCAAGAAAGGTGTAAATGTAAAGCACAGAGCTGAAAAAAGCAGATCAGATATTGTTGATAAGATTTGGTTTTGTAGTCAGTACCAAAGAAATAAATGTAATCATAAATCTCCTCATATGACTGTTATAAAAGGTGTTGCTAGATTGTCTCAGCATGTTTGCGCTTCATGCTGGCTGAAAGACAAAGTTAAATTAGAGCATCCTGAGTGTTCAAGCTCATGTCCTTATTCGTCAAATTGACTGAAAGATAAGTATGATGATTTAAAGAAAAAAGTAAAGTGTCATGAAAAAACTGTTGATTTATTTCTTCCGAAATATTGTAAAAAAGATAAGATTGAAAATAGTGTAGAATCTTTGAGAATTAATGCTATTTGCAATCATTCAGTAAAATGTAATATTTGTAAAGTCACGAAGAAAAGTCAAAAATCTATTTTAGACAGAGTAGTTATTCATGAAAAAATCCGTCAATCTGGTTTGTATAATTATGAGGGTTGTAGAATACAGGTTTACAATAATATCAATACTGATTTCATGAGGCGTATGTTGGGTTCAAACTATAATGATTTAATAGTTTGTGATCTTTTAAAATATGGTTTTCCCATTGGTTTATTAGAGAAAGGCTTTCATTTTGATCAACTTGATACATGGAAATATAGGAACCATTCCGGGGCTAATGATTATCCAGATGAGATTAATAAATATCTGGGTAAGGAAAGTAATTCTTCTTGCATTTTAGGTCCATTTAAGAGCAATCCCTTTACTTCAGGGTTGAAAATTTCTCCATTAAATTCTGTTCCCAAAAAAGATACTGATGAAAGAAGGATTATTTTAGACTTAAGTATGCCAAAAGGTAATGCTGTAAATGATTTCATTGATAAAGATATATATTTAAATGAGCATGTTGATTTGGTATTTCCTAGAATAGATGATTTTGTTCAATTGGTTAAATCTAAAGGTCAAGGATGTCTAATGTTTAAAAAAGATTTGCGTAAAGCTTACAGACAGATAAGTATTTGTCCAAGTAATTATAATTTAGTTGCCTTTTGTTGGAAAAAGCACATATTTTGTGATACTGTGTTGAGTATGGGCCTTAGATCTGCGGCTCAAATCTGTCAAAGAGTTACAAATGCTATAGCTTTTATTATGTATAATATTGGTATTTGTATACTTAATTATCTTGATGATCTAGCTGGAGTTGAAACAAGGCAAAATGCGCCTTTTGCATATAATTGTTTAGGTCAAGTCTTGAGGCATTGTGGTTTTATTGAGTCAGTTGATAAAGCTTGTCCACCTTCAGAAATAATGATTTTTTTAGGGGTTCTTTTTAATACAAATTCAATGACTATGGAGGTTACTAAAGAACGTTTATTAGAAATAAAAAATTTAATTCAGGTATGGTTATACAAAACAGAAGCAACGCTTAGAGAAATACAATCACTTATTGGTAAATTAAATTTTGTGGCTTCATGTGTGCGGTCAAGCAGGATTTTTATAAGCCGGCTTATTAACTGGCTTAAAGATTTGTATAGTTATCTTCCACATATTTATGTTCCTATTACATCTGAGGTTAAAAAAGACATTCTTTGGTGGCATAAGTGTTTACAAGAATACAATGGAGTTTCTATTATGCTATATGAAAATTGGTCAATTCCAGATGCTATTTTCTCAACGGACGCGTGTTTAACAGGCTGTGGTGGTTTTTACAATGGAAAATATTTTCATTCTGATTTTCCTGTAAATATTTCTAATCAAAAATTTTCTATAGCCGTGTTAGAATTGTTCGGCATTATTCTTGCTTTAAGGCTTTGGTCAAAAGAATTTAAAGGTAAAAGGATAGTCGTTTATTGTGATAATGAGGCTGTATGCTTAGTCTTGAATTCAGGCCGAGCCAGATGTTCAATGTTACAGGATGGTTTGAGAGAAATTTGTTTTTTAACAGCTAAATCTCAATGTGAGATAAGAGCTGTTCATTTGTCAAGTACGGAAAATCGAATCTCTGATTGTTTGTCTCGTTGGTCACAGCATGATAAATTCAAAGATGAATTTTTCCAGTTAACAACTGGATTTTATTTAGAGTATTGTGAGGTGGTGGATCAAGATTTTGTTTTTATTAATGATTGGTAATTTTTCTTTTTCTGATTATTTTGTAGATCTACAGTTGAAGACTCTCAAGTCTGAGTTGAAACTGTCAAATATTTCAGCATATGCTGAAGGTAGTAGAAAGAATTTAAAAATTCAGTGGGAATCATTTATTTTATTTTGTATTTATTTCAAATTTTGTTATTTACCGGCGAGTACAAACACTCTTCAATTATATTTCTCAATTTTTGAGTCGTTCTTTTAAATCAGTATCTAGTATTCGTAATTATTTAAGTGGGATCAGAACTGTTCATCAGTTACTGGGATTTGATTTAAATGAAATGAACACTTTTCTGGTTAATTTTACACTTCGTGGCATTTCCAGATTGAAATGTCACTGTGTCAAACAAGCTGAACCTATAACTCCTTTCATACTTAACAAAATTTTTTTTGGCTTTAGACTTCAAAGACACTGAGAATTTGACTTATTGGTGTCTATTTATATTTGCCTTTTTCTTACTTGCTCGCAAATCAAATTTGGTTCCTACCACTAGTAAAGATTTAATTAATCATAAGTGTTTACTTAGATCTGATGTTACTCGTTTTCATGGTAATTTATTAGTTACTATGAATTGGTCAAAAACTATCCAGTTTGGCGAACGGCTTTTACAGACCCCTTTATTGAGATTAAGAGGTTCCCATTTATGTCCGGTTACAGCTTATGATAACATGTTAAAAAGGTACCTGGCGTTTCGTCAGATGCTTTATTTCTTTTACCTAATGGTAAACCTGTAACTTATTATTTATTTCAAAATAAGTTACGTAATGTTTTGAATGATATTGGTTTAGATTCTTCCTTGTACTCTTCACATTTATTCAGACGTGGCTTTGCCACTCTTGCATTTAGGAATAATGTTAGTTCTGATGAAATTCAGATTCTTGGAGATTGGCATTCTGACGTTTATAAACGTTACATTTCACTTTCTATAGAGGATAAGTGTAAAATAATTAAAGATATTTCACATATATTTTATGTTTAAAATTACAGGTGTAGTATGGCATTGTATTTATCAAAGTTTTTATGTTTTCAGAACATGTAAATCAACCACCATTGCGCAAGTGTACAATAGTCTCCGACTCCATAGCGAAAAATGTTTCTTGAATTTGGGATACCAAAATTACAGCTTTTCCAGGGATTAATATTTCAAGATTAAGTTATAGAATTTCTCAAGGGTCAGGTAGATTTAAGATCTTCATTCATTATTTTACATGTGGGCACCAATGATGTTACTGGTCCCCGTTCAGAGGATGAGATTATTTCATCCTTTAATGATTTGATATCTAACATTCGACTTCAATCTACTGGTAGTATTATTGTATCTGCTATTATTCCTCGACCAATTGATTTTGAGTCCACTGGTGAGAGAGTTAAACATTTAAATAATAAGTTAGGTTTATTATGCAAGTCAAGAAAGGTTTCATTTATGAGAACCTTCAAGTCGTTTCTTAAATGCGGTTTGCCACGTCGTGAATATTATGCCATTAAGGATGGGGGTTTACATTTAAATCTTGAAGGGACCCGGTGTTTAAAAGAATTCTTTATAAATACTATTGCGCACTTGAAATAATAAGTGTTGGGTCATATGGGGGTTGCGTTCATTGAACGCCGCCTTTCCTTGTTGATCTTGTTTTTCATATATTATATTGGATGATACATGAATTGGGATAAAAGATTATAAAGAGCAATATTATAAATAATCTTTAAGATAAATTGTCATTAGCATTATTATAAATAATCTTTAAGATAAATTGTCAAAATGTAGTATTAGAAATATGCTGACTTTATGCTTTTGTTTGAGACACATTGTTTCTCATGAAAGGCTTAATCTTACAATCCGGTATTGGCCGGCATTGAAGGTTATTACTGCTAAGGAGATAATTATGTAAATCTCTTAGTGGGTTATTTAATACTGCTCATTTGTATTGATGATTTGTTAATTTGTTTCTGATTTAGTTGTTGTATTGAATCTATAATGATTTGAATTCTTAACTATTAAATTATGTTCTTTGTCTTTGCCTGAGATACACTGTTTCTCAGGAAAGACTCTATCATGCAAGCTGGCGACGGCTAGTCTTTAAGGTTATACTATAAGGAGGTATTAAGAAAGCCTCTAAGTAGGTTTTGTTCATAGTTTGTTAAGTGTATTTATATGCTCTTGCTTATTTGTTTGTTATTTTTGACCGTGGGTATGGCTTTATGGTAAATATTACTCTTGTAGTAATCATTATGATCACAATTAGACGTTCAAACAAGTTATGATGTGAGTTATAATGTCTTATATATGTGAATGTTATGTATTAATTTGATTCATGTGATCTCTTCAATTGCCTAAAAAATATATATTCATATGAACAGAAATTTTCTTTGTTATTTTTCTGATTGAAAACTGATAATTTGGATTATTTTTGTTTTTAAAAAATAACTTATTATAAGATTGAATGAATTGACCTTTTCAGTGTTTTTTTCATTAGTCGATTTTTGTTTATGGTTTACGTCAGCAATAAACATTTTTTTATTGGTCGCTTCTTTTTTTGGGGTAGATTTACGTCAGCAATAAACATCTTTTTATTGGTCGCTTCTGTTTTTGGCGGTAAATATTTTTTGACCATTTGTTTCCTGGGCCTTTTTGTCATTCTGTATTTCGTCGACTTAGAGATCACATTTTTTGATAATTAAAAAATTTTCCCACCCTTCCCTCCCAATTAATATGTTGATGGTTAATATTATATTATATATTATATTGCTTAATATATGTATTTTATTAAAATTTAGATATTGCCTTTATGGTAAATATTACTCTTGTAGTAATCATTATGCTCACAAATAGACATTCAAACAAGTTATGATGTGAGTTATAAATGTTTTAAATGCATAATATAAGTGTGTTCTCATACAATGTTTGTATGAATTTGTCTTTGATCACTTGTATATGAAATAGATGACTTATATATGTGGTGAATGTTATGTATTAATTTGATTCATGTGATCTCTCAATTGCCTAAAAATATATATTCATATGACAGAAATTTTCTTTTGTTATTTTTTCTGATTGAAAACTGATAATTTCAAGTTTCGCGAAAGTAAATTTTCCAAAATGGGAATCTAAGCGCGTTCAAGATGGTTTTATGAAAACGATCATAATAATTATGCATAGTCTATGGAAGAACTTAAGATAAAGTACTGGTAAAATAATAACCTTTGTAACGCAACGCCGGGTCAATATCAACTTCCGGAAGAATACCGTTTCACGATATCCTTTTCCCAAAATGTAATTATTTCATTTTCTGTCTTTTTCTTGGAACACGTTTTTGTAAGTGGTATATGTTCGGATTCAAAGAGTACATCAGTAGTGGTAGAGCACGGAGCTTACACATCATCTGGCATAGGCACGCATGAACTTGGACATATTCCATGCAAAATTCAATCCGCGAGCAAAAACAAGATTGTTATACCAAAAACGTCATTGTTACTATAAATAACTTTGTATTCTTCATGATTTTAACAATAATAATAATACTTTCTTTAACGAGTGAACTCATTTAAGCAATATATCAAATTTCCAACGAGACCGTCAAAATGAATTATATAAATTTAACATATTCAAGCTATTAGATAACATTAATGTACATTAGTATACACGAATTTTGGTTTCAAAATGATTTAAGATATAGCAGTCTTGATATAATCAGGAAGGCCATTCGAAACAAAATACTAACGAAATTGTTCAGTACTTGTTTTAGGGATGTAAAGTTGATAGCATGAACAGTGATATACAATATTAGCTGGGTAGCATTGACTTTGCACGAGATCCGGGATAGGCAAAATATTCTTTTTATGATATAACGAATGTTTATCACTTAAATTGTGCTTAAAATAAGGTCTAACATAATTATATTGTGTTTTTATTCTCAATCTATATTTAGTTTCGGCGTATACTGGCACGATTGAGAGGGAACTGCAAAATTAAGGGGTTCGACATGCAACGCTTCTCTGAATTATATTATGATCTCCGCTTCGTACTTCATTGAGATACAGTTTCACGTTTTCCGCATGTTCCACACTACTCTCTTATGCATTGGTCGAATGTTTCACTATCCCTCACCTCAGACCGATATTTCTATTTTTAGAAAGGGAAATCCATGACTTCACTTCATCCAATCAGTGACTAGCTTACAAGGAATAGTCACAAACATACATTTGACGCATCAAAATGTAAACAATGCATGTTCAATTGAAAGTACCCCTTGTTTCTTACTTTAAATTGTCTGTTTTTAATGATTATGTTAAATGACCCCCCAAAAAACTACAAAAATGGTAAATTCGCGATGATAAATTATTAACAGATCGTCATTTGTCATATGGAGTCTCCGTAAACGCGTATTTCAAAACGAATAATAGACGGTCATACTAAACACTGCTAAGGACTGCTAACGAGGACAAAGGACTGCTAAGGATTGCTAAGGAGGCACATAGGACCTTAGAATACCAACTAGACCTTCTTATTGATAGATATGTTAATTTAAATCCCTACCAAAAATATCTTGAAATAAATGGCATTTTAGTGCTAAAATGGTGTATGGTGTATTCGGTGAGTGAAATGGTAACACAAAGGCACAAAGGACTGAGCACTATCAAGGTTTTGGGTCTCTGTAGAAAGTGCTAAGGTACATGATATTGCTAGTATAATATATATTTAAGTATAATTGAACCTCCACTCATTATATATACCCGGTCTATTTTAACGTTGCGTAACACTACTTAAACGTCGTTTTCTTCCTCGTCACTTTCATGCCACAATCAAGATCAAAATCTGCAGGACGTAATACATCAAACAGTCAATCATCTGTTAAGAAAATCGTCACTAGACCACCACGGCCATAAATGTCAAAGTTGAAATATGTAATAACGTTAGTGGCTCCTGGCGGAGAGTTTAAGTCCGCTGTTTCGAATCATTTGCCGCTGCTTTCTAGCTGTATCCGCTCCTGCGTGAAATAATTAATAACATGGAAAATTGAGTAAAGATTAATTGACAGGGACGGATTTCGGAATCTGTATTTATAGCAGACGCAGACAATCTGTCACGACGTACCGTTTGATACGGCGTTCCTTTTATTTCCGGTAGACTGGTTACGTTCCTTATTTCAAGGCTAAACACTCTTTAATACCTATATTACTATATATAGTAACAAAATCCAGGATATTTTACGGCTATTATGGCAAGATCTAGGTCATTATGCAATTTCGGCCACCTTGCTCCTCGGCATTATTTTTCCAGAATGGGCGAGTGAATGAGCGCTGGTGCAAAATGACGTAATCAACTGTGAGTGACTTTCAAGATGGCTGCTGACGTTGAATGAGCACACTCAATTTTAAGTTTAAATGACAAAGTTAATCGTAATTAACAAAGCTTAATAATGATGATTAATAAACTCAAGAAAAGTATATAATAACTCTACAACAGACAAAAATGACCCTCAGAAATTTCCAAAAATGATTTCGGTTTGAGGGTAGAAAAAGGATCGGATCGGTGAAAGCACAAAAGTTTATAAAACAAACTGGCACTAAATGTGATTCTCCCTCAGGCCATTATGCACATTTTAGGGCCATTATCGCATAATGGCGAGCAGCAACCAAATAGCAACCTCTATATAAGTATATATCTGTAGCCGTGGGTCGCCGGCATGGCCTTCGCTTTGGGGTCGTGTGGGGAATTGAACTCGCTGGCGTAGTAAGCGCCGTACGCGGAAACCCTCGGTTAGTTTTGTGCGATACTGGTGTATTATTATTTAAGTTCTCTTAACCATGAAATCCAGTATCCTCTTTGTTAAATTATATGATGCATAAATGACAAAACACAAGATGTCATGTTCTAGTTAATTCTTTTTAATGTTTCACTGTGGTGGAAAGCGTTTATCAAATGTATAGTATTATTTATGATAATGTCCACAAATATCACAATACAGCTAACACCGGAATTTTCTTAAGTTACTGTTAAGTTGTAAGTTTTAAATACTATAGATGTTGTTAGTTCCGAATTCAAAATAAGACGATTAGATTTTGATTGTTCTAAATTCAAAATTAGACTAATTTAAAATATAAAAATCAACAATATAAAATGAGAAAGAGTTGTCATAGTGATTAAGCCTTAATTAATGTCAGAGGATAATCAAGTATGGCTTGTGTGATAAAAGACAAGGAAATTGATAATTAAGCCACAGTTAAAGTATTTAAATCAAAAGGTGATAATATTTCCTTATTGACCACTATGACATGTTTATATATTACTAGAGTTGTAAAATTTATCAGTTGAGAATCTAAAAGTAATTTTTATTTAAATATTTATGCAACATTAAATTCTTTTATTGGTTGTTTAAAATATAAAAGTTAATTTATGAATAATATTGAAAATATTAATGTTTTCACAATTAATACTCTAAAAGCATTTTGACTAGGAAATGCTATGTTACATGTCCCTTACCAGTCTAATTCTAATTATCACATCATTGGATTGCAATACAAATTTCACCACCACATTTTGTTAACAAAAAGAGCACTTGTCAGTGTTTGTGGTTAAACATTTTGTTATTCGAATTAAAGTTAGGATCTATCAATACTGCAACAAGCATTACAACAAATAAAACGGCAACGCCTTAGTTTACCTGTAAAAATTACTTAATTAATAGATGTGTTAAACGAATTCGAATGACTTTTGCCAATGAAATTTGATCATAATTAGTAGATTTACATTCATTTAATATTATAAAACAAAGTACTCCATCTTTTTGCAAAAGCTGCCCAAATGTGATACACTATATTCACTTTATTTGTAAGATTTATATAGCAAAATATGAAGATTGTTCAATAAATAATAAATCGGCTGCGCATAAATGGCGATATTGGCGTCACTTCCGGTGAAAAAAACCCATACTTTGATTATTTCATTTCCATAACAAAATGCCTTTTCTAGACGTTATTCTAATATTACATAAAGCTAAAGCTTAACATCATGGAAGTTGGAAACACAGCTCCTTGTATTGTTTTAACATTTGTGCCACCTTTTCTTTTCAGGGCTATCACTTGATGACAGTCTGGAGTCTCGAAATCTGTTAGTGCTATTCGTTTTAATGAAACAATTCCCTTTATGGCTCTACTTCATTGGTTTTGCAGCATAGCAAAAAACAACACACGCAACAACATGCCCCCACGAATAAGAAGGTATAAAATATCCAGTCCATTATGGTCACAGCGAGGGCGAACTTTATCAGGGACGTATCACAGCAATCACCCGAACCACCACAACCATCTATAACATCCGAGTAGTTTCCGAAAACCCAAACACTTCCTGTAACATCCAGATATATAAAAAATAAATTACTCAGTAAAAGTAAAATGATCTTTTATCTGCATTAAATTTTGTTCTATTTTTTAAATTGTATTGTTTTTATTTTTGTTTGATAAAGTGTCTATATGTCAAACTTACAATATATTAACTTTTGCAACTTCCCTCTTCTTCCATATAAGCTATGCATTTACAACAAAAGAAGAAAAATAATGAGAAGAAAAAATAATAAAGAAACAGGCTCAGATTAAAATAGAAACACTTTTTTCTTGTGCATTTTTAAGCTCGATTCGAGTACAAAGCGTTGCAACGCTTTTCATTTTTTCTTCTTTTTGTGTCATTTTGCATAATAGAAATTATGATTCTGAGAACAACAGGATGTGGGTATTGTCGGAAAATTGTCAGACCAGTAATTGGTCCAGACATGCATTAAATGATATTATATACAAAACTTGAAAACTATTTCCTGTTCCGCTTTGTTAAAAGAAACTCTGTAAAGTCCCATTTAGCTTTGTTACACAAATAAATTAAAGGAAACCAGGTAATAATTTATTAACCAAAATTTAATAATTGCACCAGATTTAAATATGTTTACTTACATAACAAATGTAGGATACTACGTCATCGGGCACCTGCTGAACGCTTCCACTCGGAACATTTTTTTGCAGAAAATCCGTCGACTCGATGGTAAATTACAATTTTATTATAAGAAAACGTAAGGGTATAAAAAAAAATCATGTAGCGCACCAAAGAATGGGTAAAGTACTTGAGATAATTGTAAAAAATGTTTATAGATTCATTGCCTAGTTTAGGCCTGAAAACGGGATAAGTGTTTTTCTCTGAATGCTCCGACTCGGACTTTTCACGAAACATATAAGAAATAAGGTTGAAAACCTTCTTGAAAATTATTTTTCACGTACCGGAACATAAACCGAGTCATGTTTACACATTTTTCTAGATTGGTTTAAAAGTCAGTTTTTTTTAAGTTAATTTGATTTATATAGAAAATGCTTCCACTCGGAATCGATTTCAGAGATGCTCCCACACGGACCCAAATATATACATTTTGAAAGCTCATTGCTGTGTAAAGCTTTTATGGATTATATTCACAATTGTACACCATTTTGTCAATAACTAATGTGTTTCGCGACATCAAATTTTTCCTTCTTTTTATAGAGGTCACTTCTTTGATTCGTCGGGCAAGAACAAGGCGCCATGGCAAAGGATCACTTTACAAAAAAGTGCACTTGGCTTGTGTTGGTATCAGATCCGAAGGGATGATTAAAAATTATTGCCAACAACATAGCTAGGACTATAAGACTTAGAATTGACAGTTTGGATATCAAGAATTAAGTTTTATTGAGATGTTGAAAAATAGTGGTGTTTTATAAAGAAGTCATTATACATTGTTTAGGTTATTAAGATTCTGTTGGACTCGTACACATACTCGTACTCGCCCTGCATTTATTCAATAATTGAACACTTTAATATCTTGTTAATAATTTAATACGCAATGATTTGCGCGTTTGTTAACCTTGTGCTTTGAGGCTTTAAAAACATCAAAATGGTACGTTTATGAACATAAAGAAGTCAATATCTATCGGTTTATTTGAAAAGTTTATTAAAGAACAATATGTAAATCATTTTTGTCATGAACAGGTTAAAAAGTCAATGTACTGCCATACCATGGTACATAAAGCATGTATCACAATTTAATTTAGGTATGCAAGTTATCATAGGTACCTATTTTTTTACCTAAAATAACAAAATTAAATAAATCAAAAAACAAAGATCACAGTTATTTCTTAATTTCTTTTTATTAAAATATACATGTTTGCATTCATTTCTTATGAAGAATTTGACTTACACTTTATAGAAAATATATTTTTGATTATCTTCCTTTATGAAATGTAAATTCAGTAATATCTTTACAAATAATGCTTTTTGGAACTTACAATTTTAATAAATCCTCATTTCAGGATTATATTTATGATATAAAACCATAAAAATTGACTTACAGGATCTTTAAATGACATTATAATAATAACAATTATACAAGAAGGAGTCACAGACAGTAAAATTCCCCGCCGAAAAGGAGGAAATTCATTTCAAAGGGGAAGTAACCCTTACATACATGTAAAAATCCAAGTAATGACACTCGTGAAAATTAATGAAAAAATTTAAAAAAAACAACAACAGCAAAGATGCATTAAAATGAACACTTCTGGCCCTTATGCTCTGCTATTCACCTCTTTTAAACATGTTCAATATAAAGCTTCAAGTTTATATCTCAAATACCTTTAGAGCTATGGTCCTTGCAAACTAATCATAGTGAATACAAAAGAGCAATAACTCCAAAACTGGAGAGTTGTCATTCCTGTTTGCGGTATTTTACTTTATTGTAATCTATCCTCCAGTAAAGTTTCAGATAATTTGATCTTTTATGACATATGTCCAAACATTAACGCAAAAAATTGAACAAAAGACAATTACTTCAGAGAGCTATTATTCTGGTGGTTTTTGAATATCCCTCCTCACTGAGATATGTCCACAGTTGGTATCTAAAATATTTGTTCCAGCTATATATATGTATCGTATTCTAAAAATGCTGGTTCATTGAATTCTAACTGATTACATGAATATACGAACTTGAATATAAAGATATATTTAAAAGATAAAATATCTTAACACAGCAATGTGCTTTCAAAATTTGTCCGAGTGGGAGCATCTCTGGAATCGAGTCCAAGCGGGAGCATTTTCAAATTTTATAAAAAGAATTAAGAAAAACTGACTTTGAATAGAAATATTTGAAACCAATCTAATATAAGGGGTAAACATGACTCGGTGTATGTTCCGGTACGTGAAAAATAACGTTCAGGAAGGTTTTCAACCTTATTTCATATGTTTTGTGAAAAGTCTGAGTGGATGCATTCAGAGAAAAACATTTATCCCGTTTTCAGGCCTAAATCAGGCAATGAATCTATAAAAAAATTTTACAATTACTCAAGGTCTGTAGCCATTCTTTGGTGCGCTAAATGATTTTTTGATACTATTACGTTTTCTTATAACAAAATAGTATTTACCTTCGAGTCGACGGAATTTCTGCAAAAAATGGAACAAAATAGTATTTTACCTTCGAGTCGACGGAATTTCTGCAAAAAATGGTCCGAGTGGAAACGTTCAGCAGGTGCGCGAATCCTACTATTGATAACTGTACACACAAAATCTTACACCATATAAACGTTTGATTTTGCCACAGACTAGCATCTACCACAATTCAATACTTATAAAAGAGTTTGTTTTTGTTTTTTTTAGGACAATGACATAACTGTATTCATGAAAGTTTACAAGATATTAACTTTTATCACATTTAATTATGCAACAGATTAGCATCTTCCACAATTCAATACTTGCAAAAGAGTTTGTTTTATTAGGAAAATGACAAAACGGTATACATCAAAGCTTACACTCAGGATATTAACTTTTATCACATGTCAATACTACCACAGATCAGCATTTACCACAATTTGATACATACCACAGATTAGCCACGCAATGGTGAACTTAAATGCAATAACCCCTATCGCTTTCAACACTTTTCGTATCTTTACCATCTTCTCTTCAGAATCAGGGAAATCTTTCTTTAAATACATCTCTATTATAGAGAAGACGGTCGCGAATAGAAATGGTACGACTCCTCCAACGATAAGGTATATAGGTATGAGCTTTTGTATAGGACAATCGTCTTGGTAAATAGCCCCTGAAATAAAAGAGTAGGTAGATAACTGAAAGGAGTATTAAGTTTAGTTTGGTAGCATGAAGGAAATAAGAAACTTTACATTTATTACTATGTGTGCAAGCGATATGTTTTACGAAACCAAACGCTGGATACCGGTATTTTGTGCGCACACGAAAACTATAGTCTGTCCCACCAAATTTGAATATTCCATTTTTTATTAAATATAATAGTGAACTCATTTAAATTAATGTCATGTTAATCCTGACATCAATATCTCTAGGCATGTTTTTCATTTTTTCCATAAAGTCAGTAATATGGTCAAAATGTTAAAATTATATTTTTTCCCGTTGACTTACGTTGTAACCTGACGTGACGTCCATTTCAAAATGGCGGCGCCCATACAGACGTCATTTAGGGTTCGTCTCACAATTAGCGTGAAATGTACTCGGTTATTATAAAAAAATTGATTATTCTTATTTACTTACTGATCAATAGCTAAATGTTATCATTAAAATGAAAAATGAGACAAAGTTGGTGTCGAAAAGGCAATTTTACTAGCAAACCATTATTTAAAAATAATCAATTTAAAATCATTTGATAAATTATAACACACATTTTAGATTTATATAATTATATAATTACCATATTTTATATTCCTTTTAAGAGAAAAGGAGCAATATTATGAAGTGATTTGAGTAGATAGCTTTTCAATCAAGCGCGTATGTTGAATACCGCAACGCGTCGTAAGGGAACGGGAACACTAGCTAGAAGACTGAAAAAAATGGTTCTTCGCTAATGTTTAATTAACATAATTCTGTAGTTGTCTGAATACTGTCCATTATAGTATGTATCACGTCTATTTAAAAATAATTAAATTAACCAGGTCCGATGGATACAAAAATATGTTACCCGTCTTATATTTCGGGTGCGATGTTCGTGCGTTAAAACTTTTCGTAGGTTTTAACTTTCACAACATAAACCTGACGTATAAATCGCCAACAAACAGAACAAATATAACATTAGCATGCAAATCTGACAAGAAATATATAGAAAGGGGAACTGATTCACTATATGTTTAGTATTGTTTTGCACAGTGTCTACTTTAACTAGCTCAATTGCTAATGAGAGAACACAGACTCGCGTGCGAGGAAAAATGTAAATTATAAGAATATAAAAATGCTTTCTAGTTTGAGCAACCAAACGTTGGCCTAAACACTTTAAGCTTGTAAATACAGATTAATTTTCCGTTCTCATAATTTAACAAAATGTCCAGAAATACCGGCAGTGTTTGATATTATTAAGAATAAGATTGAATTGGAGCGTTTAATCAGGGAACAATAAGTTTTTTTTTTTTTGTAGACTCAAAGTGTTACATACTATGTTTAATTGAAGGGGATATCGAGTCAAAGAGAAACACAGAGTGATGTCCTAAATAATTATAGCCTTCCTAAAATTTGAAAAATATTCAGTGAAAAACAATAGCTATATTTTTTCGCGAGAGAAAATACACAGCATAGGGTATATTTTGTAGCTAAAAGAGTAGGATTTACAGAACTCTTGAATAACGAGATAATTTGTAGGGAAATTATTTTCTGAGAAATATATAAAATAGTTTTAAAAACATAAAGTCAAAACGAAGGTTATATGTGAATTAATGGAAGAGGTATTCTTTCATATAGATTCATGCCATTATAAGTGTGTTTAAAATTATTAAAATGTTATCGAAAGTTTTATTGTTAAATATGAATTGAAGGTGTACTTTTAACAATTACTTCAAAATCTGGGTACTGTATTCAAAAATTATTTTAAATGCCATCAAGACAAATTTATCTCGCTTAAAATTATCTTTATGAGGTTACATATGCCTAACCGCCCTCTGCCAATGCCGCAAAACTGGAATCATCCATAAAAAGCGCGAGGCATTTTTGTTACGTCACATATTTCGTAAATTATTGGTGACGTAATAATGTTTTTCATCAGGAAATCCATTTTTAATAGTTATAAACATTGTGCTGTCGAACTAAATTTATGGGCCGTTCTTGAATTATGGATTTGGAACATACTGGATTATGATGTGTTTCATTTACATATTTCATTTGCTAACCAAGATATCTGCACAAACGGAACAATGTTTTAATAATGAGACGGATTATGAAAAAATCTGGATCATCATAAGTGTAAATGTCATGCCATTCAGGAGTTTCAAAGTCTACGGAACTGGATATAAACTGACAATGAAGTGATCTTCAGAATGCGAATTTGTCGTGACGTTTATAAAGATCTATTTCGAAACTCATAGGGATTCTATTCAGCTTAAAAGTAAGTGCTATTTCTAGATCTACTCCACAGACTCGATGATCTTGTTAAAGTTGTTGCTTGTTATTCATTTTTTAAAGTTTTCTATCATGCATTGCAACGAAACTGTTACCATCTTGTAGATACAGCTTTGTAAAATAATCATGAAACGACCCCGAGAACATCATGTACATTTTAAGAAACATGACACGTGCTTTCTCCCGTTCATCTTCAAATGAAGAGTACTTCGGCAATGGCTACGGAAAATAAACAACAGAGATTTGCCGTAGAGAAATGAAACTTTGCTTTTACAAGAAAATTAGACACTTTAGAGAAAAATCCTGAAAAATCTCGAGGGTGACTTTTTTTTAGTTTACAAAAAAGTTTTAATTTTTATTCAACGTGTTTTTATTAATTCATACCAGGCAAAAGTTCATTTCCATTTTTAATGGGACAGACTATAGTACGTGTGAAAATGCGATAGTGAAACATGGCCACGCAATAGCTACGTGCGCACGTGAAAGCTGTTACATGGCTGCGTAAACGTAATACCTATCACGTGGCCACGTGATACTGTCCAAATTATCGTGTGCGCATGTGCTCTTAGGCTATTAGGAATGGGACTCTCCTCCAATGATAAGGTATAAGTAGGAAAAGAAAATAGCCGTAAAAAGACTCCCACCTACCCCCTTCAAAACGATGTAAATATGTAACAGAATGAGCATCGAAACAGAGGCTGATTTGTACGAGGGGGACGTAGCCTCGAGTATTAATCAGGTTGCCAAGTGTTTTGATGTTATTTCTCTTTTGTATCATATTCAAACATAAAATCACGCTCCCGGTTGTCACAATATGAAACCCCGGAGGAAATGTTACCAATTGAACGAGCATCTGCATATGAAATTTCTGTCGCTTTCCCTTTCTCTGCCGTCACAATAAGTAAACCATAGCAAAAAATGAGCCAATCAATGGCCATGCTCCGGAGTGCGGGTAACTAAAATACATGCACTCCAGTTAACGCACGGTGCCTGTATGTGTATACGATTTAACTTTAGACACATTTTCAACAGTAAGGTCCCCTATGATACAACTGTAAAGGAGCATAAAAGAAAGGTATATGGCAGTAAAAACTGTAAGATGACGTAAAGATAGTAACATAACTTATAAGTTCCCGTCTTCTGTTATTTAAGCCCAATTTGGACACAGTCGTTCTCCCTCATGTATGAGTGTTTAAAATGCTTTAAAAACATTTAATTCCTAAAATGTTATTATATATAGTTTCTTACCCATGACGATCTTGGCGATATTTAGGCCGAAAAAGACGAAGACAATAAGTACAACCACAATTTTGACAACTGAAAATTAAAAATGGGACAGCGTTAGTGGTGAAAGCGTCTAGGGCTATCATAATGTAAATTGGAATTATGCTCACCCCCAACACACCCGCGCGTGCGCACCACACACGCACACACACACACGCATATACACGCACGCACACATGCACATACACATACAAAGAACTGAAATAAAAGTTTTCACATTACTGGGTTGTTCGGTCAATGAAAGATTTAATGCAGAAAAAAAGAATAAAAATAATAAATTGATGCCACAAAAAGAAGAAAAAGAATTTTGAACCTTTCAATTTTTTTTCTCCGAAGAGGCTGTCTGTAATTCCATGACCTTGACCTTTGCCTTGACCTTGACCTCGGCCTTCACCGCTACCAGCTCCGATACCCATTCCAAAATTCCAAAATCTGAAAACAATATTGTTCTATTTTATCTGAAACAACAATAACCTTAAACAAGACTGTATTTTATTAGTTAGGAAGATTTATAAACTGTTGATTTAATATATTAACCGAGTCTCTATGCATGTGCTATATTGCAAACTACCGATTCAGATTAAGAAATATATTAAGTAGATGTAAAAGGTAAGATTATTAAAATTCCAACACAAACTTATTTAAGTTATCTGTACTTTTGTACGTAAAGACATGAAATTTACATGTATACCGACTTTTTTAAGCACTTTTGAAAATAGAAATGATTTTATCAAACGCGTCTGTACTTAAGCAATGAAAGAAAATCAATAAGCAACAGTTTAATGCAGACTTATCAACTTATTAAGTGTCATGTGTTGAAAATAGATATCTAAAATGAAAAAAAAAAGATATGAATAAATACTTACATAAGAATTATTAAGATCCCTTAACAGTATAAAATATAAAATGGTTCAGTATTATCATATCTCCAAACTATTATAACGTTCGTTGTTATTGTTATTTCTTAAACGTGTATGGATTTGAATTTCAAGAGTTTATATATAGATGTTTGATCATCGCAATTTACTACAATCAATGTTATAATGTCAAAATAAGCCGTATACACAGTATTAATGCTATTGACAACGGTATTTGTTGTATACGCTATATAAAGTACGGTCAATTTTACTTTACCGATATTCAGGTAGTAAATTAAATAATATTATCTAATGTGTACAATATATTTTTAGAATACTAGAACTTTGGTCTGTGAATCGGTGTATTAAAAAAACTCCTATATACATTAAACATGTAAACAAATATTCTCATTTAACATGTGCTGTATATAATGGTAGGGCTTTAAAGCAGCATGCCTCCAGTTTAATGCTAATGTGTTTGAAAGTAAAATATGATAACAGAGAAAGTAATTTACACATCGCAAACGGCACTTACAATCAATTTTAGTTACCAATATACGTAAATACCTCCTACTCCATAAGTAACGCAGTAGAATTATAGAAATTGATACTGCAAAATCAGTCATAAAACGCACATAACATGTAAATAATTAATTAAATACTGAATAGTTTTACTGTTCTTAATACTTACATTGAAGATTGAATTTCTTAAAATATTTTGGCTCATCTGGAGGCGTGCTGCTTTACAAAAAAAGTTTGAAAAACATAACATAATCTAGAGATGACATGTTTGAATAGTTTTAATGGTTTAGGTATTATTGGTAACTACTACTGCTGCTGCTGCTACTTATGTTAATAATGATAATAATGTTTATAATAATAATAATGATGATGATAATTGACGACGAAAATGATGATAACTTATTTATTATTGATATAATGATAATGATAATGATGACTTTTCATTATTGTTATTATTATTTTACAGGTATTACGGCTATTAATAGTGATTATGATGATAAAGCTGGTATGGTGATGATGATGATGATGATGATTATGATGGTTGTGATGTTGTTGTTGTTGATAATGATGATAATGATGCTGATGATATTGTTGATGATGATGATGATGTTGTTGTTGTCGTTGTTGATGATAGTGGTGATGATGATTTGATGATGATGAGAAGGGTTGCTCAGTCGGTTGAGAAGCGAGTGTCCCGGGTTAACCGCGTATCGCAGGAACGTAAAAATATTGCAACAATTGTGCAAAGGTAACACATAATTATTCATTTCTGTAGGAATCCATATATTTTTGATTTAATCAAAATGAATTAACGCTAATGGTTGCTGGGACATTATATTTTAAAGCTGAAACATTTCCAGGATAATGCATGTTTTTCAAAATCTTTCGTGAGAATGACGACCTGGCTGATTTAAGGGCGTTTTGTTGATTTTTGGGGCGTTTTAAATACAAAATCATTTTTTCATTATCCCTTTTAAATTCGGTGCACTTGTCCCTCTATGATTTACATTAAAATTGGCAAAATAAAAAGAGCCGAGACCTTTTTTTTTTGGAGGTAACGCCGATTGCTGAAGGGTGTACCAAACAACACGGTTACCCTATAAGAAGTTACCTTTTAAAATTTGATCTGCTTTTTTTTTAGGTCAGATATAGTATTTTTTCCCCTAGACTTACGTTCCAAATCCTACTTAAAGGAAACCTCCCGGGGTTAAAAAGGAAAATAAAAACATTTTTAATTTTTTATAAAGACAAAAAGGGGGAAAAATTTTTTGCAGAAGATAATAAGAAATTTATAAGAAATAATTTAAAATTGATTTTGTACGTTATTTGTTTTTAAAAGCATTGCAACGCTTTTCAATTTGTGGTCGTTTTACACAATTAGAATAATTATTCTGGAAAAACGGAGTGAGCAAGAACATTAAACTCTAAAAAATATGTTCAGTCCTGTCATGTCAAAATCCAAGTGACACCTAATGAAATATTTTCTTTAGTTCAAATTAGTTTCTAAATTAATGTTCATACATTCCATTTTCATCCAGCCAGCTGATGCCCCATTACGGTTTTTCCACTTTGCACTTTTCCCAGCAAATAGTTAACCATATCACCAGCAAGCTATGATCTAGCAGATTGACAATCCGAACTCATACTTGGCGGAAAAGGCCGAGAAGATGCGGTTGACAGTTTGACAGATGTCATATCAAAACAAAGTTTAAAATGCGTTATTATACATATGTTGTTATTGTTAGGTTATTGTATTAGCTCCTTCAAAACGGTAGTCCCGAATGAACTCTTAAAGTAAACCTCTTTCTGGAAATATTTGTAATGTTGGTTAAAACATCATGTCGTGTAGACCGCCTCCGTGATCGAGAGGTTAAAGTTGATGACTTCTAATCCAGTTTCCTCTCTGTCGTGGATTCGATCCCCGGGAGATGCTTTGGTTCTTCAGCACGGAGGAAGGTAGTACTGGTGAAGGAACGATGGTTAGGAAACTACCCGCCTATATGACTGAAAAACTGTTAGAAAAAAGCGTAAAATGAAACAAACAAACAAACAATCATGTCGTGTACCCTTATTCTTTTCTTGTATTTGATTAACTTTTAGATATCTTGGTCCGTTTCCTTACCATGTCAATTGTTTCGACCGCTTGCCCCTCTCTCTGTAGGTTACATTCCTACCAGGGAATTTGGACTCTTTCATGTGCGTAGGCTATTCAACTAGCTTACGGAACGCCGGTGATTTTACTCCTGAAGTAGCGCAATCGTACCTGAGATAATGCACGAAGGAGCACCTGGGCACCTTCCTCCAACAGTAAAGCTGCAGGCCTGAAAAGCCAGCATATGACCTCTATTGTGTTGGTACAGCGTTAAACCAAACATAGATTCCGCATTCCTTTACCCTGCTTATTTTCACATTCTTGTGTTACTTGATAACAAGGTGGGGTTCGAATCACGGCCAGGTTAAATATTTTTCGGCCGAAGGCCGTCTGATTTCACCTTGACTTCCGCTAAAATTAACAGTAAAGAAATGAATATAGGCAGAATTTTCATTGGTCAGTTTAACAATAATAGCCTGTTCGGACATAAGACGATTGAAACGAACTTTCGACTAATTTGCAGTATCTACCAAATCTTTGTTTTATTATAAATTCATATTCAAATCAAATTCCATTTTGATTAAAATCAAATAATGTAAGTGATATTGTTTAAATCTAAGATGACAATTAATGGGGGAAAACATTGCGGGTAATAATGAACTGAAATATATTTAAAATTGTATTTTGTACTGTTCTTAGCGAAATTTGATTTAAATGCATTACAACGCTTTTCAATTTTTGGTCGTTTTACACAATAAGAATAATCATTCTGGAAAAAACGGAGTGAGCGGGTGATCTGAAATTTTACCTGCATCAAACAGAACATTAATCCCTAAAAATAATTCCAGTCCTATCATGTCAAAAACCATCGGTGCAGTCCCTTTAAAATTGAGTTTTAATTCCCTTCATTCAAATTTCTGCTGATCACAGGACTGGAATATACTTTTTTAATGAATATATCCAAGTGACAAATCATCATCCTTGAAACCTAATGAAATATTTATTTTCTTTAGTTCAAATTAGTTTCTAAATTAATGTTCATACATTCCATTTTCATCCAGCCAGCTGATGCCCCATTACGGTTTTTCCACTTTGCACTTTTCCCAGCCAATTATAGTTAACCATATCACCAGCACGCTATGATCTAGCAGATTGACAATTGGAACTCATACTTGGCGGAAAAGGCCGAGAAGATGCGGTTGACAGTTTGACAGATGTCATATCAAAACAAAGTTTAAAATGCGTTATTATACATATGTTGTTATTGTTAGGTTATTGTATTATCTCCTTCAAAACGGTAGTCCCGTATGCACTCTTAAAGTAAACCTCTTTCTGGAAATATTTGTAATGTTGGTTAAAATATCATGTCGTGTAGACCGCCTCCGTGATCGAGGGGTTAAAGTTGATGACTTCTAATCCAGTTTCCTCTCTGTCGTGGATTCGATCACCGGGAGATGCTTTGGTAGTTCAGCACGGAGGAAGGTAGTACTGGTGTAGGAACGATGGTTAGGAAACTACCCGCCTATATGACTGAAATACTGTTAGAAAAAGGCGTAAAATAAAACAAACAAACAAACAATCATGTCGTGTACCCTTATTCATTACTTGTATTTCATTAACTTTTAAATAGTTTGGTCCGTTTACTTACCATGTTAATTGTTTCGACCGCTTGCCCCTCTCTCTGTAGGTAAGAATCCTACCAGGGAATTTGGACTCTTTCATTTGCGGAAGCTATCCAACTAGCTTACGGAACGCCGGTGATTTTACTTCTGAAGTAGCGCAATCGTGTCTGAGATAATGCACGAAGGAGCACCTAGAAAATATCCATGACGAATTTCAATATACACAAATGCAGTTGGAGAGTTAATAACTGCTCCCTAATTAGGGTGGAAAATGTGTAAGAAGCCGGAGAGCTCATTCGGGAGAGCCACGGAACAGTTTTCCAAGGTTCTCGGTCAGTTTCCACATTTTCTCATCCTATGGCATTTGGTCTCAAACTAGGGACGGGCATACATCTCCAAGTATTTTCACATTGTTCTCTGTTCTTATATGGGTATCTGAAGACGAATTTCAAGAAAGTGGATAGGGTGGGGAATGTCACCGTATAGAGATGCACTACACTGTTTATATTATTGCAGCAATACGCATTAGAGAAAGTAAAGTAACATTATTTTTATGAAATTTTACGTCATAGATGTGTTAAATCAATAGGAAAGAGTGTGGCGCCGAAGATTTCATCATGGTTAATCGATAGCGAGATGAATGCAGAAATAAACAAACACACAAACAAATAAATTTTTACGTAACATATATATAAAAATAACAGTACAAAAACTCGGTCTTAAATTTTAGGCGGTGAATTTCGTGATTATGCGAGTATGAAAAAGCGGTTGAGAAAAATATTGAGTTGTGTTCCAACCA